ACTTGATTATTCTTTTATATTTTCTGTTTCTGTATGTTCTCATGACTTCTCTGTCATATGACCTTTCACTGTGGAAACTGTGTCAGATGTCTGGGTCGCGTAGAAACTTTGTCCATCCGTGTCAGACAAAATGACAGAATAGTCAAAGCTGCTTTTACTCCTACGCTCTCAGTCAATCACCCAGATGCCTGAAAGCTCAAGCCTTAGATATGTGTACATTTCTCAGACCAACAAGGGAGTCGGTCTTTAAACTGTCAGCCAAATCACTCAGACGTATACTGAGTTCTCCAAACAATGTTTTCCTCTTTTTTTTGTCTCAATCTGATCTCTGGAAAGTGAATGCAGTAAGCACTGCCTCTTCCATCAGTAATCCCTCAATAAAGTCACCAATGTGTTGATTTTACTGTAAATCAATAGTAGAACAATATTACAAATTCCCAGAATTGGAGAGAAGAAGGAGCTGTCAGTATCTTGAATCAGAAAGCAATAAGAGCTTAGAATCAACAAAGACTCGTGGAACACGTAGACGGATTTGCAGCTTCTTGTCAGCAGCGAGTTTACCCAAGAGCATCAAATCTGCTTAGAGTGCAGATAAAGTTTGTTGTGGCGATGAGCTGCACTGAGCAGCAGCACAGCGACTGTGGTTCAAGCCCTCTAATCTCAGCTCAACATTTCAAATGTACGTTGGCTGTAAAGTAAAAAACGCAGACAAAAGATTAATCTCTGGACTCGGCGTTACAAATAATGTCGTGGGCAAAGTGAAAGCAGAGAACCAATCAGAGCAAACACCTAGAGGAGCACGGGCGCCATCAGCACAAACTGCTGGTGCGGTGTCGTTGCATGACGCTGACACAGCAGCTGATGGAAACACTGTCACAGCTTTAACACCCACTAAATCCTTTCCCTTCACTATTGCTGATCACACTGATGGCCCACAACATCTGTCCAGTTGCTGCTCGCCCTCGAACAACAGGGACAAATGGGGACGGGTCAGGGACACCGGGAGGGGCTGAGGGACAGCAAAGTCAGCTGAGACACAACAGAGTGGCGAGACGTGCTAATGCTGCAACGTAGCAGCCCCACAAGAAGGAGGCCGGAATTAGAGCACGACCTTCCAACCGATGCTGTCGATATTCTGCATTCTGATGCAGGGCTCGGGTTAAAGACAAAGAATAAAACTGAATTTTGTTTAATGTTTTCTTGTTTCTCATGGATGAGCTGAGGTCCATAAATACACAATCACATCAACAATAGTTGTAAAAAAAATTGACTTAGCAGCCACCTCATTTAAAACGTGCAAACTCACATTCTGAAGCCTCAATCAGAATCAGAATCAGAATACTTTATTGATCCCTGGGGGAAATTAAACCAAGCATCGTAGCAGTCTCTGTGCAGGTGGAGCCAGAAGTGCAGAAGTGCATACACTAGTGTGCTTGATTAACAAGGTGCACCTGTAGTGGACTCTGCACCTCACAGGCAAGGAGGATGGGAGATTTTTAACTGGAGGAGACTCTTGGCAGGACTTTTAAGATTAAAAGCTGTACAGCTAAGTCCTATTTTTTTTTTCACTGGAAATTCTTTGAAAGACACCAACAGCACAGGCGAGAGGTCCTGGCTCAGTGACTCCCAATTACTGGAAGTGAAACCAGCATCAAAGCGGTCGAGTCCTTAATTATCCCCAAATAACGTTTAAGTCTTCACCCCATGCAGAGCAGCTCTCGGGGAGGGAACCAAACAAGAACAAGACAGTCTTTTGTGGCAGGCTTTAAACATCTGCTGTTAAGTGGGCCATTTAATCACAGTCTGCAAGGACTCAGAAGAAGAACTGCAGCATTGGCTTCATTTTTCATCTGCGGAGGTTTTTGTGTGTGTGTGATAGGGTGGCAAAAATCAACCATGAAGCACCCAGGGGGTTGTCTTGATGCACGCTCCATCATCCAGGTGAGTAAATCCCAAAAAGCTGATTCTGTTCATCTGGACGTCTTTAGTGGGAGAGACATTTCGTCATCATCCAGGTGACTTCTTCAGTCTCAGCTGACTGCAGGTTTCCTTAATCCTATATTTGTGTAATGACTGAAACTAGCAGCACTATGTCCAAAAGAACATAATCAACTGTTTGGGACTCCCAGACGGTTGCTTGTATATGTATAACTTTAGTCTAAGGTAAAAAGGATTCCAATAGGAAGAGTCTGTCTGGTTGTAGCATTAGTTGTCCACAATAATGCAAGCACCACGTGCTGGGGTGGATTATAGTCTTTGAGCTTCACCTACGTTAAAGAGATGAGTTCACTGTAGCAGAGGCCGACTGACAGGCACAAACATCTCCTTCACAGGGGATGACAGTTATAGTTCCTGTAGCTGGGGGTAAGAATAGAAAGTTGAGAGTATGCGTGCCCGTGTGGTTGTGGCTCCTACAGTATCACTAGCCTAACAGGCTGTCCATAAGAGGGACAAAATGTATACAACCACACCCAGCAGCTGTTCCCTTTTCTCTCCCTGGAGTTAAGAAATTCACGTCTCAATAAATGTAAAATGAGTTCTTCAACAAGAATTCTTTGGCATCACTTTGGTTTAGAGTTGTCCGGTTCCTCGACGCCTCGTCTGTGGCAACAAAAGCTAATGAAGCCACATGACATAAATATTAAACACATGTTAAAGCAAAGCAACAGAAACAGCAGTCGTTTAAGATCTCAGTGACTGGTTCCAGCCTGTATTAAATAAAGACGGTGAGCTTTAAAACTCTGTTGTTGATTTAAGATTTTCCGGCTTCTAAAGCAGGAAAAGCTGATGACTTTAAAGCATCAAATTAGGACCCAGCTTGGCACTGACTGCTTGCTTTTTTGGAGCATCCAGTGGAAGCATTGCTGCCAGGGAGGAGGTGACAGCTGGCACAAAGGAGAGAATGAGGCGACCGACAAAGTGAGGAAGCAAGTGAAGAGAGAGCAAATAACACTGAAAGAGTCTCCGCTGTAGACAAAGTGGGTGAAAAAAGGAGAGTAAATCTTCTTAGGAGCATCAGATGCTGCCGCCCTCCCGCCCCACCCGCCTGTCCTCGATACGGGCCGAGCCGCTGAAGTTAGCGTCAGTTCAGCACTCTCTTCATTCATTCATTCATAATCTGTCCTGAAATGCACATGAATGGAGGTCAGCAGAGTTACAGCTCATCGAGGCAAACTGGACTAGTGAAAGTGAGATAATGCACGTTCATTCAGTTTGCTGACTCCGTGCTCGGAGTACGTTTCTTTCTCCGTGATCTAAACGCACCTGATGGCAAAACTTTCATCCATCTGTTGGTTTCCAGGTGAGAGATGTGGCATTATTCTTGGAAATGACTGATGATAAGAGGGTAATAATGATAAGACTGTTATTTAAATATCATAGACAGTAAGGAGCTGAAAGGACAGGTGTTGATTATTATTGAACTTTTCTTGTATTGTTTTAGATGCAGGACAAAAACATTCACTTTAACCTGAAAGTTATCGGCGCACATATATAACCACACTGAGACACGTTACATGGTGACAAACAGAATATGAAGACTGAAAGTCATGTGAAGGCACCGCCATACAAAAGACATCGTGAATCCTCCGTTTGGCGATTGGAATTCTTTGGTCACTTAAAAATGAGTTACTGATGATGTTAAACACGATGCTCTCATTAAGCGGCTTTGTCACCAACCCCCTGCTCTCTATTAGCACAATGTTGGAAAAGCTTAAGGATACAGGTTTCCCTGTGGGGTGGGGGGTGAAACACTGACAGTGGGGTCAGACTCAGGTTTCCCCTTCAGTCACAGCCAATAGGCTCCAAGCACATATATGCAAAAAAATATTATCAACACAGTATATATTTCAAATAAATATTTGCATAAATAGATGATATGAAAAAGGACATGCGGCTGGCATGAAACATCAAAACACACACCGAGCGCCGTCTTTGATTAAAATAATTAATACTCATGTCAGAAGGCTTAAACAGACCTCTGAGCCACATGTGATCAGGATCAATGAGCACTCGCTCCGAACTCTGAGAAGGAAAACAGGATAAAAATAAAGTTCTAAGCTGAACCTTTGTGATCTCCAGGATTTCACTGGCTTGTTTATGGTCCCGTCTTCAGCACTGTGGAGATTTTCAGAAACCTGCTGAGCTGAGACATGGGCTTTATTCAGACAGCAGGCAAATCAGATTTGTTTCTCAAATAGGACCTTTAGGACTGCGCTGTTATTTGCAAGTGATCAGATGGGATTTGTGTGCCCAGACATCACCAGACCATCTGTAAGAGTCGCTGCAGCAACAGCGCAGGCGTCACTGAATACATCGCTACCATTTGTCTTCTAGCTCCCTACACGCCCCCTCCCAAAGAGCCAGCAGGCAGTTTTCTCATCATCTAATCTCATCTGGATACAATGTGGGTTTGTGGAAAAGGGAGTGAAAAATGAGCTGGAAGTAAATTTGCAGCAGGTTGTAAAAAGGATTAAAGCATCCAAACGGGCACCGGGGAGAGCTGTTTGGACCACCTGTGGCGCTACGGAGCAATACAACGTGTATGTGGTGACAGAGTATGACAGAGGTTATAGAGACGAGCGTATGAAGAGATGCAACAATGCAAAGAATGTAAACATGGCTGCTTCTTCATGGGTGTTAAAAACCCCTGGAAGTCACTGACACGAATGAAGCACGAGGGTGAGGAAATATTATCAAAAGCCTCTGTGATTGTCGTGTTGAGACTTTATGACAATGCTGGACCAAAATTAGGATTCGGCCAATCAGTCTTCAAAAACTGAGAACTCACAGATGACATTTAAGAGCTCCGTGTTTGTTTCTTTGCACTGTTCAGGATTCAGGAAACAGTTCAACCAAGTAACAAGAGCACAGACGGCACATTTACTGAGAAACATTTCAAATAATATAGAGAAGCCTGTTACATTTTTATTCCTCATACCGTATCCTTCATCAGGAAACAAATCCTTCATACTGATGTCACTTAATGACTGCCTGACAACAAAATGTTGGCGAGGACCATCGATCATTCATCAGCTCCTAAAATCTACGGCAGCATTTCTGATTTCATCTGTTTATGTCCCTCACTGACCGACACTTTGCAGCCTCCGGCCGCTGCTTTTGCATTTCATCGCTGCGACATCACAGAATGATGTCATAGAGTCTGCCGACCCGGCCCAGCCATTCGCGCAGGGCCTGGCGAACGCGGGCGTCGGTCACGTGGCAGGAGAGCTGGCTGAGGCAGGGGTAGAGCGCCGGCTGGAGCGCCAGGAATGAGGAGTCAGACAGTAGGAGGACCTGGTTCAGGAGGGTCAGGACCATGTTGGTCCAGGCCTGCAGAGGGAGGAACACAGACATCAGTTCACAAGCAGATGCAGACCTCACTTTTACCCAACTTTCTTTATACGAGAGGGTTTAAACAGGGGACCTTCAAACTTGTGGGGACAAGGATTTTGGTCCACATGAGGCTGTTGGTCCCCACAAAGATATGAATACACACACACACACACACACACACACACACACACTCGCCTGTATCTGAGCCTCAGAGTCTCTCAGCGAGATGCTGTGGGAGCTGATGGTGGACCCCGACCGCGGCCTTTTCTCCTGCCTCAGCACCTCCGGCCCCGCACTAACCGAGTGCCTCAGAGAGGGCCCCTGCTGGTCCACCAGCTGCTGAGGCCTCTGCGGGGGCCTCTGCGGCTCTACTGGGCCCTCCTCTCCCCGATGCCGCCTCCTCCTGCCGCCGCCCGGCCCTGCTCTTTCATGAACAGGTTGACGTGGCTTTGCTGCGGCTGCTGCTGCTGATGTTTCCTGCGTTTATACTCCATCATCAGCTTGCTGATCGTTCTGTCCGTGGCAATGGTGTATAGCTTGTTTCCAGCACTTTCCCACCATTCCTTTCTCCTTCCCGGGCCAGCGCTGCCAGGAATCCCTCCAACCGAGCTGCTTGTTATGTTGGAGTCCCTCCGTTCGCATCCAGTCCGGAACTGACTGGACAGACTGCCCGTGCAGCTGTGGGAGAGGAGAGCGGCAGCTTTTATATGACGGGTGACTAAACAGCCTTCACAAAGCACACATTAATATGCGTGATCTCCAACCTGAATCCTGGACTTGGCGTCGGTGTGTCCCCCGGTGACGCTGAGCTCACGTCTGTCGTCTGACACCTGTACCCGCCTTCCTCTGAGGGCGTCTCCCTCGCTGAAAGCCCGCCTGCTGAGGTCGGGGTCGAAGTCTCGGACTGGAAGAGAGGCAGGAAGAACACATGGTCTCCTCCTGCACTTCCCCTCAGCAGAGCAGTCTCCTCCAGCATGCTCTCCAGGTCGCGGTGCATCTGAATGTAGCTGTTGCACAGATCCACGCACAGCTTGTAGAGCCGCTTGACCAGCCAGGCCCAGTCGGCGCTGCCCACCGGCTGCACGCTGAGTGAAGGGACTGGAGCTCGCCACGGGTGACGCTTATCCCGGCCGCGAGGGGGGCTGACCTGCCAGATAAGACACAAATATTACGAGGAGGGTCAAAAGTTTAGAAAAGCCTCTGAGGATTGAAGAGAAAAAATGAATAATGGATGAAAAGAGCAGCAGCACGACTAATCCAAGGCCGCTGCTTTAATTCTAGATTGAGGTCACCTGTCAGCCCCTCTGAGTGGCCTCTCATCACATTTGAATGTTTCACAATTCTTTACAGTAACGCTGCCAATCAGAAGCTGTGTGTATGTGTGTGTGTGTACCTGTTTACACATCTTTGTGGGGACCAACAGTCACCTGTGAGGACAAAAGTGTCCCCACGAGTTTGAAGGCATTTTTGAGACTCAAGATGTGATTTTAGCGTCAGGGTTACAGTTGGGTTATCGTTAGGTTTAGGCTCAGGGTTAGGCATTCATTTTTGATGGTTAGGGAAAGAATTATGTCAATTAGATGTCCCCACAAGATATGAATACCCAACATGTGTGTGTGCATGTGTTACCTGTGCGGTTTCTTCAAATATGTCTTCATCCTCCGAGGAGGCGGAACCAGGATGAGAGGAGTCTGAGCTCCCCTCCTCTTCCTCGTACAGGATCCTCTTTACCTGAACACGGCGACAGGTTCAGATGTCAAACAGATAACTAGTGACGAGCTCGTCTGTTAGCGGTGACGACGGTTATCACCAGTGATTCTGTGTCTGCTGAGAGGTTAATATGACTGCTGTGTCTGGTTGGTAAATATGCATTAGAATAAAAAATAATAAATGAAATGAAAATGTTATTTTTGTGAACATCGTTCCTCCAGACATATCAAATACCTGCTCCGCGCTTCTTTCATTCGACCTACCAAATACACAAAAGTGCATTTTAAATCTGGAGCTGTACATTTAAATAATCCCAGCAAAAGAAAATCATAGAAATCAAGAAACATCGTATATGTGAAGATGTTTTCCTGCACAGTGAAAAATCGTTTCATGAACATTCGTCCAAGACATGTTTGAAAAAAATGTTCCAAAATAAAAGCTGGGCAGGCGTCCAGCTCACTGCCTGCTCAGCTCCGTTCCTCCCATGCAGCGCGCCATGACACAGATTTTAAATTCAGCTCTACATCAGTGGTTTAAATGTTATTTACAGGTCATGGTTACAAATGTGTTTATGAAATGACTGTCAGCGAATCAAAAACTTGTGCATTTGGCTCCTTTAGAAGTGATATGATCAACAGGGCGGCCTGGCTGGTGTTGGTCGTTTTGCTGGGCGTGCGTCTGAACCTTCTGGTCCAACTTTTCACCAGTTACCTTCTAACTGTGTGCGTTTGGTGCTAAGCAGCAGCACGAGGTGGGATAATGAAAAGCAGTTTCCAGCAGTGAGAGTGAACTGGAACAGTGAACTGAGCTGTGAAACGATAAGCTCAAATAAGTGATAAGGCTTTGTAGAGCTGAGTGGAAGTGACCACTCGGGTGATAACTCTCTGTGGCTTTTACGATAACAAAATTTGTCCCAATCATCTGAACGCATTAGCGATGCTCTAGAAGTGACAGCAGGTCCCTGTGAAACTATAAAAGAGCTGCAGTGTGGTTGCTAATTGTTGGCTACTTCTAAGCTACAAAAGCCTGGAACAATGTTTGTGCCCCTCAGTGTGTGGATCTGGATGCGCTGTATTAGCAGCGTGACAAAAACATACAAGAACATTATTAACTTGACTGGTTTCCACCTGCTGTGCAGTCATGCTGTCTGCCTGGCTCAGTATGGCACACAGCAGGGCCTGGAAGTACAGGCTGAAGCTCATGGCTGACTGGCGGTAAAGATTGGCTGCTCCACAAACACCCGACACCTTCATCAGCAGGTACTTCAGACCCGGCCGAGTGTCAAAGTCCCGCGCCGTCCTGCACACAACAGATTTTTCAGCTGCATTTGAAGCTGATTGACATTATTATAAAAGCATGAATATAAAAATAACTTGTTTTGTTTCTATGTTTGGAAACTAGCAGGATTCAGTATCAACACTACACTGCCATCTGCATATGTGACATGTTTTGCTGCAGTAACCTGTACGAGTCCAGCAGCAGATCCAGAATTATGGCTAAATTCGTCATAGAGATGTAGCGCAGGAAGCCTGCCGTGGGTTTACTGGGGTCAGAGGTCACAGGTGTGACCCTTTCGTGACCTTCAGGCTGCTTTACAAACTCTTCCAGCAGGATGTCAGAGAGGTTTTGGAGCAGAACCTGGTGGGACAGCAGGCTCACCACGATGGTCCTGAATGGGATCCTGCACATCAGTCGAATCACATACATTCAGTTACTTATTTAAAAAAGAATCCTTCATAATAAAGAAAGATTTCACTGAACACATTGATGCATTTCCAGTCATGGTTCATTTATCTGTTGTAGCATCACTGTAATGTTAAACAAATGAATAAAGAGGATAAAGGATAAAGATGCAGGTGCAACATGTAAATGACAGAGCTGCACAATATGGCTGCGGTGTAACGTGAAGAAGTGCAAATGTACAAGGAGAGCTTCTTCTTCTTCTTAAACTTGTATCGTTGATGCAGCTGCAAGCGAGAAGCTGACTGAGTGCTGATGGTTGAGTGCTGCATTAATTACAACTTTATTTTTGGTTTACATCTAATCAGCCATTGCATACTTGTCTGTGCATCGTGCAGCTCATTTAAGATTAACACTGGCGATCATGCTGTCCATGCCTCGTGTGGCATTTGTCACACTTTTAAATGGTTGTTGATGAACACACAGAGAACAGCCTTACCCAATTTTCCTTTAACACAGCAGCAGAAAGACAAGCACAAAGAGTTAGTGGACTTCAGAGAGCACATTTCCCCCACAGTCACTGACAGAGCACACATAAGAGGACAGACCACAGAAGGAGGCACATTTAAACCTAAATCTAACTGAAAACATGCGGCACCTTCAGAGCCTCGTTAAGAAATGTAAACCAATCAGACGAGTAATAAACCACCCATGTGATCAGAGCTTTGATGTGCACCTCTTCTGAGCGTGTCCATTGGACTGCTGGTCAGACGGCAGCTCGATGATGAGGACGCAAGACTGAGCGTGCTCAAAGCCTTCCTTGTTGTTGGGTGTCTTAGGGGAGCACTGAGTGTCCAACATAAAGACCTGGGATAGAAACGGGACATGCGGACAAGCTCAGGTCAGACAGTTAAAACCACAGGACAGGCTTAAAGAAAGATTACCCATACACGTGTGTTTATATTCATTTACCACGATGGATCTCTGTAAGTATTAAGTGATAAAATACAAGTTTATGTACAACTTCAACTTCAGGATCTGACATTTCAAACTCCAGGATGATGGGAGATTTTTTTTCCTGTCTAGACTCTCGATTGGAGGTCGAAGCCACGTGAAGTGACACTGACCTGCTGGGCCATAGCTTTGATCCTCCAGTACTCGGCCTCGGCTGACGGTGAATGAGAAGGAGCCGCCACCTTCACCTCGCAGGCGTCTCCAGAAAAGCTGTCCGAGCCGCTGTGAAAACACGCCAGAAGGTTCTGCAGAGAGAAAACAGGGAAGACTGGTGTGGGTTAAATGGGAAACACAGACTTTTGCGATCTAAAAGCTGTCACGCTGAAGGAACCTCTGGCTCCTTGGAAGTGAAATCTGCTGAATCAGGTTTGAAACCAGAAGAAGATCCGTCAGAAAATTCATTCTTCCACTGGAATACTGTGGAAGAGACTACAGCCCATTATTCCTGAAACTCTGGCTGAATGAGGATGAACCTTTCAGTCTGTGTGTTTAATCAAGGAGCACAGCTTCTATTGTTTATAGGAAATATCATACTGTTTCCTTCATACACCAGTCAGGTTTTGTGTTATATGGTATATTTCAGGTGACAGTTGGTCTCTGAATGACATGTATGGCCAGCGTTTATTACATTACATCAGCTGTGACCTGAATGCTTTTTAACAAAAGCAGCTTTTCTATAAAGCCAGTCAAAGGCCACCTGTTCATATGTCTGAGAGCAGAAGCTACACATTAAGAACCGATGTCTACATAGCATAAGCTGCCTGTTACCAACTGTCCTACAGACATAATACGATTCTATGCATTTTTCAGGATTTCATTTACAGTCACATATCATTTATTAACATGTCTGAAATTTCTCTGCTCTTCCTTCAATATTTCTGTAAGATGGGACGGAAATGAAAGAAGTTTTAACTGAGGTTAGAAACAACGTTGAGAAGCAAAGTGCGTATTTTACAAAGACGTGGAGCCCTCTGCTTGTTTCAGAGCTAATGATTAGTATGAATCTGAGCGAACGAGATGCACTTGTTTTCAGTGTGCTGTTATACGTGGGATATAGAGCTGGGCGATAGTACGATAACGATATGTATCGCGATATAACTTTTACTCGATAGAGAAATTAAGCTATCGCGATAGACCTCGCCGCTCTTGTCCTCCTAAAAAAAAAAAAAAAAAAAAAAAAAAAAAAAAAAAAAGGTCAGCCAATCCAAATTAAGTAGCGCAGAGCCGAACCAATCACAGCCGCAGCGTCACATCGCGTGACTTGTTACGTACAGCACAAGTGCCAAGCCGCACGTGTGTTTGTTTGGGAAGCAGCCAGCGGGTAATGGAGGAAATGAGTGTGTGCTCTCTGAAGTCCACTAACTCCGACTAGAAAAATCAACCGAGTGTGACCGAAGAGAAAACAGATGATGGTTCCAACGCCGGAGAGATTGTCGAACGGAAGAGCCATAGAAGTTCCGTAGTGTGAAGGTATTTCGGCTATTTCAAGTCTGACAAAAAACAGAGCAGCGTGCACTGTAAATTGTGCCGAAAGCAAGTCTGGAAATACAATAAACTGGTGCATGCGTCACACTGTGCGCCACGTTATTGTTTCGGTGAAATGAATTTCTACAATACTGTTACTGTTAATTCTACTCTCTGCAGTGTTTAAATGCTTACATATACACACAGTTACTGTCCCTCCACACATACGACTCGGTTCTACTTCTATGCCCCAGCTTTGTTTACTTTTTCCCACCGAGGCTTCTAGACTTCTGATTGGCCAACATTTCTGCACGGTTAGGAATCTAGCGCCACCTGCTGCTTTGGCATGTTCATAGCAGCGTTTTCCTTCATTTCTGCCTTTATGTGTGGACGGGATTATTTTTTAAAACGAAAACGGAAAATCTCCGTTTTCAAAAATACCCGTGTACGTGTGGACGTAGCCTCAGTCTCTGACTGGAAGCGCTAATTCGTCATTCGGCTTTTGTCAGACTAAAGTAACTGTTAAAACTGTTTGAAAAGCTCAGCTATACAACAAGGAGAGATTGAGAATTTCCTTTTAGTTCTCAGTTTATTTGATATTGACAAAAGTTAGTCAGTTTTGTCTGTTCTTCTGTAAAACAAACTAAGATTTATTTTTAGAATTAGTATTTTGTTTCTAAGTGGAATTGACAATTTAGTCTGTTTCGTTTGTTCTATTTTGAAACTTAAACGCTTTAGCGGCTGCCTTTTGTGTAGTTTGTAATATTTGCCTTTATTTATCTGAAAAAGTCTCATGTTCCTTAAGTACATCTACCCCGTTGAACTTATTATGGGAAATAAATATTTAAATAAGAACAAGCTGCTGATTATTTCACATTTTACTTGTGAGCAACGGCACAATTAAATCTTACAAATATAGTTATTTGGCTTATATCGTGATAGATATCGTTATCGCCTGAAATGAAAAAAACATATCGTGATATGAAAAAATCTTATATCGCCCAGCTCTAGTGGGATATCATGTAAAAATTTAAATTTTTTTTTTTACACTGGATTTCAAGTCAAACAGATGAATAAAATGTGAACCTGTCAGTTCAATCATATTTAAGGGCTTAAACAAACGTATTGCATCAGGAATTATAGACACCGAAGTATTTCAGGAGGTCACAGCTCCATGTGTGACATTAGCAACATGCTTTAAGATGCCTCTGCTTCAGCAAATATTGTTATATAAAGGGCTATTAGACCTAAATACACAAAGCGCATTGCTCAGCATGATAATGTTAAACCCCCTCACAAAGAGTCAATCAGATCTGTTTCTATCCATCCTCTCATTTTCGACTGTTGAGACCTCGCTCTCCCGGCCCAGTTGGACCATTTTTATTTTACTATCTTGTATTTTCTAGAAAACTACTTCCTCTTACAGCTGCTCCCTTTAAGCGCCACCACAGCAGATCTCTGCCTCCATCTCCCCCTCCAGCATCCTCCCCTGTCACACCAACCCTCTGCATGTCCTCCGTCACTGCATCCCTGAATCTTCCCTCATGACTTTTTCTTTTCCTCCTGTTTGGCACATTCAACAACCTTTGTCCAGTATATCCACTCCACACCATCTCAGCCTGACTGACACACACACACACACACACACACACACACACACACACACACACACACACACACACACACACACACACACACACACACACACACACACACACATACACACACACACACACACACACACACACAATGCTTTCCTTAGCCCCTTACCCTAACCTAACCACAACCTAACTGTAACTCTGTCACTAAAAACACATTTTGAGTCTCATAAATGGCTTTAAAACTTTTGGGGACCAGGATTTTGGTCCCCATAAATATAGTAAATTTCCATTTTTAGTCTCCACAAAGATATGAATACAGGCTCGCACGCACACACAGACAGATGTGGCTCTAATCTTTAAAGCTGCTTAGCAGATGTCAGGCAGGCAGCTGGCTCAGAACTGCAGGAACACGACATCCAATAACAAAGTGCTCGTCCATGTCACCTCTGCTGAACACTCACGCACACTCTGGGTTAGCGGCGGTTCCCTTGGTAAGTGACAGGAACAGCAGGAGTCGGCTCCCCGCTGAGGCTCTAAATCTGCAGGCTCACACATGCACTCAGCAGGTACTGAACCATCGTCAACAAATTAACACAAATTTTTCATTAAAGCTGAGCGGGCTGGCAGATCGTCTCAAACAGACCACTGCATGTTCTGGTAGAACATTTAACGAGCGAAAGGAGGAAACTGATTGTGAGACAAACATCGAGCTCGCATTCAGCTTTCAGTCGATTCTTCTTCTGTTTAGTTTTGCGCACTGGCTATTTTTGGAGAGATGACGTAGACTACACAGACCAAACAGGACTGCTATGACTCAAGGAGCGCCTACTGAGCAGGTGAAAGAAGCCATATCGTTCCAACAAAGGGAACTCGTATCAATAATAGAAGCTAGAACGAGCAGAGACATGTTGCATTATTAGAAAGTGAAACAGAAAAGACTGTTAAAAAGGAACCATTATTCTCTGTCATATTTCTACCTGATATTTAAACGTTTCAAATAATAAGATCAGTGCAGGTACGAGTAATCACTGAAAGCAAAAACCTCAGGTTTAGACTGGTCCAAACACCCAGTCTCACACTCAGCTCGATGTGTAAAGAAGCACAGAAATCACTAATGTGGTGAGCTCAGGTCCAAAGCTGTGGCTCTGAGAGCAGCAGCCTCACTCACCCGCAGGAGAAAGACGACTTAAAGGTAAGAGGAAGGAAGCTAAATCAGCTGATTTCAGACAGAAGATGAACCAAGGCGCTGCACCGAGCCCCAGCATGAGATCGATAAGGATTAGGTTTCGTTCGCAGAAGTCAACGCTTAAAAAAAGGATTTATATTGCACATAAAAGCCACACTGTACTTAATTCTAATTATAAGTAAAATTAGTCTTAAAAAGAAAATAAAAGAACATTTAGAAAGAAATCAGTTCTGACTATATTCATCCATGAAAGCTGGGAACGATTGTGGTTTGAATGGTGCCTCACTGTGCGGTACTGATAAAGAAGAACAGCTACAAGTGACGGATCCAAATAAAACACTACATTTGAGGTAATTCAGACAAAAGAGCTGCAGAATCCAAAAACCAGATAATATCTAACTGAACCTCTCAGTCAAGGATGGTTGACACCAAAAAGGAAAGGAGAGCAGTTTCCTTCCTGCTGCGAGGAGACAAAGAGTGATCGCTCACAGCTGCAGGACTGTGATGGCGAGTATATAATGCACACCGCAGGTTAAATGGGGTTATTGGAATCCCAGCACTGTGATGGTATTAACTGCTTTCAGATTACTTCTGTCTGGACAAGCGGCTTCAAACTGGGGATGGATTATGTGGTTTACTGCAGCGGGCTGTCCAGGTCACTTGTATCCAGGTGCTGTACCACCTGACATCTGCATTTCATCACGTACCTTGACCGGCTCTAACGTGGCAGAGAACGCGTCCTGCAGAGCGCAGCAGGCCAACCTCCACATTTCTTCTGTGAACACTGGACCCACTGTGACCAACACGTACCTGGAGAGAGACGCAGAACAACCGTGGACTGATCACACAGAAAATAAACTATATCTTTTAATACCTTTTAAATCAATTTCTAAAGTGCTACAAAACACACCTGACATTGTTTGATTTGACAATTCTGTTGCTGCGAATAAACCGCTCGAGTAGCAAAACTAACAAAGTCTTAGTGTCTAATGCAGTCCTTGAAAGTTTGCAAACCTTTTATGTTTGTTTCTGCGTAATCAAGACATAAAACGAGAGAGACTCACACAAGTCCAAATGTGTGAGTCTGTAAAACGTCATATTTGTGATTAGTATGGAAACCTCGAGGATTTGAGTAAATGTGAAGATAAAAGTAGAGTAAGTCGGCTCGAACACTGACAGATGAAAACAATAATAATGAGAAGAAAAGAGCCACTATCGATTTCCTCACACAACCTTGGAAAGCGTACAAAACTGTGTGTGAGTCTGTATCAGTGATGTAAAGCAGTTGTCTCGTGTATGGCAGGTGTTGCATGTGCAAATGTGCCCTAACAAAACAAACAAACAGGGTGGCATGCCCCAGAGACGGTGTAGACATCGTCACAGGAGTAGAGGCAGGATTTAAAAACACTGGCCTGCTGCATTATTGTGCAAAATTTGCAAAGAAACAGCATGTGCTTCAAATAAACGATTTCCAACAGTGAAATTTAAGTTCTAAGCCTCCCAGAAACGACACAGAAAGGCATAAAGTCAAACACGACTTTGAAAACACCAGGAAACCTTTGAAAGGCCCTGATAGAAACTACATCTCCCACAAAAAGGCGTCACTTCCGGTTTTCAATGGTAATGGCGGACATGCGATAATCCGCAGAGCCATATGTGGAAGGAAACCACGAGCTGGGACAAGCTGAATGCATGTGATGTAAGTACAACTCATCTGGTTCCAAATGCAATAAAATGATTGCGCTAGCTTATGTGGTTGCAGTTCTACCAGGATTTAAAAATAGTTCCACGAATCGTCCACCTTTCTTCTAGCTGCACCTCATTTTTAGAAACGTCATCCTTGTTTAGGACGAGCGTCCACCACTGAAGCGCTCACTCAGCCAACAATCCACCCAAAACAGAGAAAGACAACCTGAATTGAAAAGAGGTTTCACACTTGATTTCACTGTGGCGACAGGTGTGTAACTGCCAGATGTGTGGTCACCTGATGCAGGAACAGCCCACTCTGGAGATGGTCTCTGCAGGTTCAGACACGCAAGCCACCAGCAGCTTGAAGAGGTCCTTCAGCATCTGGTTGATCAGTGACTCGTAACCAATATCTGCAGAAGTGACGGCAGAAACACACACACGTGCACACACACACACACAAACACCACAACAGAGCCTGTGAGCACACAGGGTGGGGGTGCAGTTTAATCTGACTAAAGAGGAGGACAGTGGAACAACACGGTATCACTTCTGCTCCATTTCACTTCAGAGAACAAGCACATTATACGCCAGAGAAACAATAACAGTCCATCAGATCTGTGACAGCGCACCTGACTGTGCTAATGCACCACGGGTCAAATCTTTCAGTGAATATTTACATGAAAGCTTAGAAATGCAAAGTTCCCAGAATGCTTTGCTCTTAGCTTGAAGACGATTAACGAAGACGAAACGCGCGAGGTCACAGAGGGAAACGCACACCACCAACCTGAGTGTATGAAACTGTTGACGTGCTCCACCACCAGCTCGCAGGATAGGCCGATTGCGTGTTTGAAATTCGCTGCCGCCACATCCCAATAAGAGTGGTCACCGTGGCTACGCTGCAGCCACAGTGACATCACAGGAAGCAGCAGCTGGATGACAGCGAAGATGCCAAACCCTGGACCTGGAGAGGCGAGATCAGGTTACATCCCGGCTGTTTGTAGGGTTTGTCTTCTTCTTCTTTGGATTGTGTTTAAGTTTATCACCTGGCACTGCGGTGACTTCTCTGAGCAAAGTGAAGAGCAGCTCCAGCGTTGGAGGCTGGTGCTGTCGAGGGCAGTTTGACACGGCTGCAGTGAGCTGCTCCAGTAACAAAATCCACACCTGGATCAGACCTGCAGGACATGAGACAACAAAAATGCACTGACGAGAGAGAAAGGAGGAGGATTCTTAGACAAAGACCGTGAAGCACAGAGAGGAGCAAAGCGAAACCTGTGTCGTCATCGAACTCCTGGAGGACACAGTCCATGCCGTCCTCGCTGCTGATCGAGCGTTCCTGCGATCTCATCGGCAGGCTGGCGAGCCGCGCACCCAGGAACACCGGCTTAGACGGCATCTTGTAAATCTTTGCCAGCAGCTGTCAATCAAATGCAAAACACGGTTTCTTTTTAATAATAGCGAAAAATCTTAAAAATATGCTCTCACTTTATATCTGTGGAGCTTCCACCTGCGAGCATTTGCGGAGGTAGTCGAGAGCAGGCAGGCAGAGGTCTGTGGAGCTGTAACCTGACGCGTGAACGCAGTCGCCAATCTCTTTGTAGTCCACCTCTCCTGCACGGAAAAGCATAAAAGTTCTCCGGAGTTTGAAAGGTCAGCTTTAAAAAACACTTGGATGACACTGTAGTTGTTTCGAGTCATTCAGAGAGAACGTGTCTCTGAGAAACACAGGATCACTTTTTCTGCGGTGCTGTTTTCTTGTTTTTGTCACTGACTCGCTGCTCGCCTCCCACTCACTGTCATCAGCACCGTGTTTGCTCCTTTCTCCTTCTGTGAGGTTTTAAAGCTTTTGATGGTGACGATTTTTCTAAAAACCATGAAGTATCTTTCTAAAAGAAAAATTGCTTCCCAGTCATTGTTTAGGAATTATGAATAACTGGGATTTTAAAAACATAAAAGTAGCTTTTGTGTCTTGTGTGTCCTCTTGGTGCTTTTTTGTAAAACATTTTAATGATGTACAGGAACATATTTATGCATGAGTACTTCCCGTGCATTTGTGCATTTGGCCTTTTTGATAAATAAAAGAAATAATAATAGCACATATCAACATAAATTCTCAAATCTTAAATTTCTGCAGAAAACTGAAGCACTCAGCATCTGCAGATGCATAAATCCGCTCTCCTGATGTATTAAACTGTGACATAAATACAAAATGTACTTGCATGTTATGAGCTTCTAATAAAGAGATAAATACATAGCCTGATCCCGGGAAAAGTAAAATCCCAAAAGGCTTGAAAAGTAATATCTTGAAATGAAAAATAGCACGCACACATTAGTGAGACAAACCTAATCCTTTGACAAACTTCATGAGACACATGATGTAGTCTGTGGCAGCGTTGGCAAAAACTTGGATGTTGTCTGTGTTTATGAACGCCTCAAAGACGTCGAACACCGGCGCCTGAGACTTCCCTGGAGGAAGACAATAAGACGAGAGCAGGAAACTCAGATTTACAGTAAAAATCTTTCTGCTGATAAACTTTGGAAAAAAGTTTGTTAGACATACCCATGGAGTATTCACCCAGCAGGTAGTCTTTGGTGTCAGTCTTGCTACCGTGCACCGTCCTGAGGGCGCTGAACAGAGGCCTCCACCCTGACAGGATCTGAGGAGAGCACATCTCCACCAGCTCTCCAATCGATGTTATTACCTGCAGGGAGACAAACCCAAGAAAAACTGTTTGGCAAACTGAACGCACAGCCCGGAACAACGCTGGCTGATTTGGTTGTTTTGAGGAACTGAGATCCGACTCCACCTGGTCCTGAACGTCCTCGTCGCAGAGCTCCAGCTGCATGATGTGCTCGAAAGGCCTGAACAGTGCCTCGTTAAAGTGGAAGTGTGGAAGCTCCGCCCAGCTCGTCAGCACCTCTGTGAGAACATCGTGGATAAAGGAAACGGCCTTCTGGGATACGTGGCGCTCTTTGTGACACGCAGCCTGTGATGACGACAAAACTTTGTGTTTAAAGAGCCTCAGATCAAAGCTTTTATTCTCTCAGTGCCTGAAGTGTACCGAGCTAAAAAAAAAGGAAAACCACTGTGCGAGATAGAAGGTGGTCTACACAGATGTTACACAACTTCATTTCAGCGCCGCTACAATCCAAAGAAGATTCATTTCTGTGTGCAGTCACAGTTTTCTGGGAGCCCTTCACTCTTCCATGTGCATACATAGAAAGAATAACAGCAGCAGTAAGACACAGCACGGAACAAGCAGACATTAGTGATAACAGATTTGACACTGATCAGGTTAGAGACACCTTTAAACAGGGGTCTTGAACTCCAGGCCTCGAGGGCCAGTGTCTTGCAGGTTTTAGATGTGTCTTTGATCCAACACAGCTGATTTAAATGGCTAAATGACCTCCTCAACATGTCTTGAGTTCTCCAGAGGCCTGGTAATGAACTAATCACTTGATTCAGGTGTGTTGACCCAGGGTGAGATCTAAAACCTGCAGGACACCGGCTTTTAAGGCCTGGAGTTCGAGACCCCTGTCTTAAAAGGAGGAGCTGGGCTGGAGGTGGGTTGCAAAGTGGCTTGGAGATACACAGGCAGGCATGTAGGCAGCCTGAGGTGCAGTAAGACCCAAACTCAGAAGACTGAGACCTGCCTGAACTACTGCGATGCTGCTGCTGTGAAGTAAATCTCCATAAAAGGAGAAGATTGATTAACCATATTTCACATGTGGCAGAATGGATAAACTGTTGGCTTTGTTTGTCTTTTAAACACGTTGACTTTGTCTGTAGTTCCAACTCGTGTGAGAGCAGCAATTAGAACTTCTGTAGTTACACAACTGCGCAACTGAGAGGTTGAGAAGTTAACAGAAGGAGAGAAATAAAACACTGTTTACAAGGTGGTAATATCCTACCTCCACCAGATGAGGCGCCACCACGCTCCAGGCCCTCATCATGTGGAGAAGGGGTCGGTTCTTATTCCGGACGATTCGCAGCATGGCCTCACCCAGACGAAAGAGATGGAGGGCGCTGCGCCGGTCCAACGTTGACTTGGCTTCTCCTACAGACACGCAGAGGACACAAAAAAGGCCTCGGAGCTTTACTCCTGTCTGTACTTCATCTTTAATTAACCACACGAGGGAAACTAATTAAGAAAGAGAACAAGGTATGCCCAGCATGGTTCACAATTATGCAGACCCTTGGGTCAGTGGCCAAGGCCTGAGATCGAGAAGGGCACAGGAAGGGACCGAGGATGTTTAAAGGATGCAAATTCTATGGGGTTTTTTTGGATAATTTTCTTTTGTGTGTCTGAAAAAAGTGTGTCAATAATTAAATAAATGTAACAGAATTTGTTTTAGGTGTGTTTAATAAAAGCAGAAAATGTAGCTATTAAATAAAAATGGATGTCTGTGGTTTATTTGTGTTGAAGTGAAGCCAAAATCTTTGTGAAGAGAAGCCAGTTTTTAACTTGGCCAATTTCACCTGCTATTAAAGCAAACACAGTTTCGACTGTTGAACATGTTTCACTGGGTCACTCATCTGCACCTCTGCACTCACGCTCCTGGTGCCTTCTGAAAGATTTCTGAATGCAAATATCTGACAAAGAATAATTGCTCTCACGCAGCCCATCCAAAAAACTCCAGTTTGATGATTAAAATGTAATAATGATTTTTAAAAAATCTGTTACTTTAATCAGTGAGCAGGTATTTGTGTCTGTGTGATGCACCTGTACACTTTATGGATGCAGCTTGCTAACCAATCTAATGCAATTATTGGCTGATAGCTTAGCATCCCAGCCTTTTATCCAGATACTACGTGACGGCAGCTCGTCACGTTTCAGAACGTAGAGCCCAAAACCAATTGGTGGCATCTCCTTGAGTATGTCCATCTTTTTTATACAGTCTATGGTCAGCCCATGCATGGAGTAAGGGGTGGGGTGGGGCCTTTTGCCCAGAGTGCTCACATGCATTTACTGAAGCATTATGTGTGTGTGTGTGTGTGTGTTTTGATGTCAGAGTAAAGTCAGCCAGTCAATATAATGTGCACTGAATGAATGCAAAGTGTGTACCTGGCATTGCCAGTGAATAGTCTCCAGTCTCGGTGGGAGAGTCAAACAGCTGAGACTGAGAAGCTTTTCTGAGCTGCTGCAGGAAACCAACCAGACCAACCAGGTTTAGTTTGGTGGCCCCTTCTTCAAATAACCTGAAACACACAGAAAGCATTTCATACACTCACATGAACGTCTACAGTGCAAAAGCAACGCTGCCATGCAAGTTTACATCCTACACTGAAATACTTGCAAAGCCTCCCTGTTCACTGCCCTCTAAGCACATATAGGCCACCCCTGTGCAGCAGTATTTACTATGGTTGTCGCCACTTTGAGCTTGTAAATGTGTTCAGTCCATCTGTTCCAAAAGATCAGGGGGAATTTTTTTTTAATATACGCTCCTAAAAGCAGCCCAGATAACTGGTTATGTAAGAGATGATCCTTGGAATGAACACGCAAACAAGTCCACAGTTACTGCGGCCGTGTGCGAGCCGTAACAAGTGGCACGCGCACATATGCATACATGTTTGTACACGTGTGAGGACATCAGTCTCACTCTAATCCTGAGTGTCGGTCCAGTAACAACAAGCACAAAACAATGTTCTCACTTTTACATTTAGGGTCCAAATACCAAATGACTCATCAAAGAAAGTGTGTCATAGCACACACACACACACACACACACACACACACACACACACACACACACAGCAGTAGCTCCACTACTGCCATCTTTTGGCTATGAAACCAACCTCGGGAACACTTGCTGAGCACCAAATGTCGGTGAAACGTGGATTTGGAAGATAAAGTCATTAAGAGCCTCGGTCATGCTGGCTGTTAATGGAACACGGTGCTAACACAGCTGCTGCACTTCAGTTAGAAACTAAACCCACTGTGAAACTTGTTAGTCTGCTTCTATTTCCACCGTCTTGTTGCCCGTGGTGACATTATGGCCGAGCTTTTAGAGGTCAGCCTTATTAGTTATGGCTGCGCAGTTCATCATAGTTTAATTTCTAACAATAATTAAAATTAAATAATAGAGATAAAATGAATATTGCACCACATAATTCTCTTGTTTTGCCTTTCATCGGGTACATTACTTTATTTCCTCTTGTCAGGATGTGATGTCTGCAGAAAGCACGGCAGGAAAGATCTGAGAGTCTGAAAGATAACTGTGACCTCATGAGAGTTAAAGTGGACAAAAGAGAGAACTTAGTCTTTTCAACGCTGTCAGAGTGCAAGTATAAATAAAACTGAACCCCTCTTCTGTTAGTCTTTAGCAAGATTAAATACCTATAAAATGAAAAAGATATAAAAAACATAAAGCAACTCAGTATCCAAGTCTCTGAAGTTGCACCTCAGTGCAGCGACTCTCTGAAATAATGACTACCACCAGGATACGGACAGGGGCCACTCTGATCTGACTGTCAAAGGAAATCTAATCGCTGAATTTCTCATTTACTGTTTCTTAAACTTGGAGCACGTGCAGTTATTGGGTTTTAATAAAACAAAATCAAAACACAACTAACAGCACTGGTGCAACACCTGGAACATCACATGTAGAAAGCGTCTGGATTGCCATCCAGTCTATCATGTTGCTGTGGTATTTGTTCAGTCTCTACCTGTCGGCCTGTGTTGACAGCGTGCACACGGCCTTGGCGGCGCTGGTGCCGGTCATCAGGCTGCCGCTCTTCAGGTCCAGGCCTCGGCCCCCTCTGCCGCTCTCCTTCAGCAGCTCCTGGATGGAAAGCGGCTGGATGACCGGCTGGCTCAGGCTCAGGTCCGAGGCCTCGGGGCTGGGTTCGCAGCTCAACTCCAGCCCGAGGTCGATGCCAGCCATCTGCTGGCTCTGCTGGGTGATTGTGGTCAGAGAGGACGGCTGGGCAGAGCCGTCACTGAAGTGGGTGTGCTCCAGTGAGCTGATGTACTCGGTCACCCTGAAAGTGATTTGAAGTTCTAGAACATATTTTTGAAGTTTCATCCCTTATGAACCACTATAGCTTCACATACTACCATTTCCGAGCTTGATATATATGATATATGAAGTATATTTTACAGGATAAACAAACGTACCTGAACACATGAGGCCAGCAGTCATGGTTGTGGCTGCCCATCTCCAGGCCAACGTTCAGGATGGCGTCCATGCACAACACATGAGCTGTGTGGAGGCGAACTCCCTGAGGACGGCCGATCTGCTCCAGACGCTGCTCAACACGCTGTTTCACTGGAGACACACACACACACACACACACACACACACACACACACACACACACACACACACACACACACACACACACACACACACACACACACAGTAAAGTGTATTTTAAATATCACAGACGCCCTGAACATTGTGCTTGAACTGATTTGAGATGAGCTTTATCAAAACTCCACTCTCAGGTTGTGGAAATATATAAACATTAATGTTGCATCCCAGTAAATGCTGCCAGCAGTTTGTAGCAGCTGTCACTAGATGTCACTAGTTCCCATATCTTGTTTTTATCATTGCTTTTGTCTCCAGTAGAAATGATTCCAAGTTTAGGCTGTGGCCGAAAAAAGGAATTGGCCCGTTATTCCAAACAGATAAACGCTCCTGGAAGCACCGATCACAACCACAACAGACATAAGCTTTGTTTTTGGCAAAGAAATGTTGAGCATTTCGCAGTAAAGTGCATGCTTCAGACTTTGTAAATCATGTCTATGTTACTCATTTAAATATTTTCTTCTTGAAAGGGAAGCTCCTACAAATGTATATGCCACAAGGCCACCTGGAAAAATACCCAAGACTGTGACGTTCAGTCACCGTGAGCTCCTTAGCAAATCCAGCTGCTGCGTACTGTTAGCAAAGCAAGGTGCAGTACGTACGATGTTTTGTAGTCCACATTTACACACTGTAGTTTCAGTTCAGCATGTTAAGCAGGTTAGTGTCAGGTCATTCAGATTCTCAGCACACAGTTCTTTTCTCGAGCCCTTATCAATATTCCTAACACCCTCTTTTCCTTGAACTCATGACAATTTCATCAAGGTCAAGGACACAAGGTTTAGTGAAGGAAAAGGGGGGTGCTTTTTACTCCCATCGGCACAGGTACATAACATTAAGCACCTAGCCACGCAGTCGGTCTTTGCAAACGTTTGTGAAAGAAGAGGTCGTTCTGAAGATCTGACTGAACTCCAGCCTGGTTCTGTAACTGGACGCCGCCGCTGCAGCAAGTCAGTTCTTCCCTCCGTGATATTCCACAATCAACGGTCCTGACCTGCTGCTCAGCCGGGAGGTCAGGACGCATCAAGTTACAGAGCAGAAGTGCTGAGGCACACAGCAGCTTCCAAGCTCCTCTGTGCTGGGAGCGTCACGGCATGGGTTTCCATGCCGAGCAGCTCCTGCAGGTCAAGGTGGCCCAGAATGTTTCTGCTTATAGTGTAAAAAGTTTATAATAATAACTTTTTTTTAAAAAGAGACAAAAGCAAAAACAGAAGATGGAAAATACTCAGTTAAAGGTACTTAAGGAAATAATAATACAAGTAATAAATAAATATTAATACAAGTCTCAATATCTCATGTTGAGATATAAGTGGGGCCTTATTAAGTGTACAAATGTGTTTACTGTGGGTTCTTTGTATGTATGATTGTGAACGGTCAAGATTTCCTTTATCTTGGTTTTATAACTAGGAAAACACAAATTAGCACTAATTTGAGGTTTTACCCCTTGATTGTGTGTGACAACGATGAGCTTGATTCAAATTTAAGGTTTTTGTGTGTCTGTTACATGCAAACGTCCGAACAAGTGTGTGTTTGTGTTTCTGTGAAAATACCTTGCGCGATAGCGTCTCCCGTCTCCCCCACCTCCTTCTCCTCCTTCTCTTCCTGCACACAGGAGGCTGCAGCCATCTGGGCTAAAGCTGAAGCACAGTTGGCAGCCACACCTGACAGACGCACACACACACACACACACACACACACACACACACACACAGTAAAGACGTGCCGTTTCATTCATCCACAAAACATCATCCCTGCACATTAAAAATGCAACATTTCAGCCATCATCCATATTCAGAATCTACCAATGAGACATTTTCACAGATTTCTGGGATTTCCACTGTACATGTTTAAAATTTTAACTGGAGACACACAAACTGTAACGTGCCAACTGCAAACACAGAGGAGGTCGTACGCCATGTGTTCATTCATATTCATTAGTCCTTCTGCACTAATTTCAATCTGATTTGCTCCCATGCAGGCCCCGGGGATGTGCCACTGCCCTTTAATGCTAGTGATACTCACAGACATCTGACAGCGGTTGATAAGTAAACTGCATTTCCCCTGACATCCTCTGTAATACTTGCATTTAACATTTTGGAAGTAAAACTCGCAGTTAACCTCCAGAGGAGCTGCACAGCGTCGAACAGGTGCTGGCTGCTATTGGGCACCTGCCACTGGTGTCAAATTTGATTAATGTGATACATAATCAAGCTGACAAGGAAAATCAGAACTCAGCAAAACCTTCCCCGTGTGAGTACGAGTCAAAGCTCAAAGTATGGCAGAAACATTAAAAGCCTACAGTACCATGAGGGGATTTTTAGGCACTATGAAATGCCCAGTAAATGCTTTACTGATAATTTCTGTTTTTACATTTAAATGTATACGTTTGAAGCATGGTACAGTACAGATGATCAACAGCAGATTCATCTCCCTCTATGGTTTAAACGTGCTTATTAGAAAGATCATTTAAAGCCCTCATGGACTCAAGTTATCAAGAGAACGTGAAGAAACAACTGACATGACTTAAATCAAAAAGGCGTGCACGCTGTGTTGAAACGATGTCAAAGTATGAAGTAAAACTGGGCATGACGTGGCCTCCAGTCTGCACTTCCAGCACGAAGAGAAAAGTTAGACCAGCAAGAGAGGAGAGTCATCGTCTTTGCTGCATTCAGTGTGTAAAATGAACTGAGACCAGATGAAATGTAAAATGAGCCTAAAACTGGAGCGTTTTAAGGAAGCACCTGTGTCTCATATTTTTATGGTTAACAGCTTCGCCCAGTGTTCACGTTTGAACACTAATCTGCACTCAGCACACTGGTGTTATTCTGGTGTCCCTTTTCAGTGACAGCCAAACGTCGAGGTGGAAACGAAAGGATCCCCGAGCTAAAAACATGGGACAGAGCTTTAAGGCAGGCCAGCCACAAGGCCGCTGGCACTTGGTTCAGACGACTATTCAGGTTCAATGAATGTCCAGGACTTCTAACGGGAAAGTTTAAAGTGCTTAATCGCTTAAAAAGTCACGTGTCAAGCGGTTTTCATTAGTGTGACTGCATTTCCCTGTGACCCCATAAGCTTCCAAAACATGTTTAATATCAATTAAAAGCTGTGTAAACCCTCAGTTCTCAATTATTCTGTGTAAGTAGACCTGTGCTGTGGCGGGAGCTGAGAGGGTCTGAGCTCACACGAGGGCAGTAAACTCCATGTTAGAATTAGAATTAACAGCGTTTTGTCTGCCTCTGACAGCCTCTACAGTCTGAACCTTTTTCACTCTGACTTCCTTTGTGCAGTCATGTGAGGGCATTTGCCATCCTGACAGTTACTGTGGCTAAAAGTGAACAATAAAGCCATCTGACAGCAAGTCCTCCCCGGTGCTCTCTCGTGCTTATTCTGCTGACTGGAAGAAGAAAACAAAGACATTTCAGTTCAGTCTTTCTACTTCTGAAGGTTGTGGCCAAATAACTTGCAGCTCATTGTTCTATCTTATTACATCAAGACCTTATTTCTGTATTTCTTCCACCAAATTCATACTGAACCGTATCTCAAAGGTTTCACCGTCTGTGCCGGAGTCTTTGTGTCCATTTGCTTTTTCCTGCGGTGTCCCACACGGCTCAACTCTAGGGCCCCTGTTATTTAGTTTTAATTACATCAAGCTTTGAAACCTCAGGACGTTTATAAGTTATCTATGCTAACTGTCTTAATGCTAAACCAGTGATGGAAAATGTTTTACAGCTAAATACCAAACAAAGAAAGAGAGGTTGTAACTGCTGCAGAAAATAATCTGAAGTAGAAATATTTTAGCACAATGTTTCGTATCTTTAGCATGTTATCTCCTATCTTATAACATATTACTACTGTGACACAAATCACGTGAAGAAGAAATCACACTGGCCAAGTCAAAACATCTGTGTGTGCATGCTGTGATATAAGTGTAATATTTGAATCCACAGTACAGATATATTTGGATTAAGCGTTTACAACATGTTTCACACTGCACTTCTTCAGGCCCCTAAATAAATCAGTCCTCGAGTTTAGTGAGCTGCGACAGGACGTGCTGATTAAAAACAGTGCTGAGTGGCTGCTGAGCTGCTAATAGAAATTACTGTTCATACTGTACATACCTAGAATCTGCTCCAGCTGTAGGACAGATGTCTAGTGAATAATCCTGACCTTTGCCTGTGCTATAGGGAGGGAGCACAAATCCTCCCCCACAGGGATGAGAGAAGATGATATGCATTTGTCTTATTAATACAGGCACATGAAACATGCTTCACACACCCAGGGCGCAGCTGAGCGCAGCAGCTTTACGCAGGCCGTCTAAACTCAGGCAGATGGTGTCTCTCTCCCTCTGGCTCTGCTCTTTGACCCCCTCTGCCCCAGGATGAAGGCCAGGCCCTTGGAGCTGCCCGCCATGCGACCGGTCAGCGGTGTGGACAGAACATCGATCAGGTTTTTCCAAACACCGGTGAGGATGAAGCGTGAGAACACAGCTCCTGAAAAACACAGAGCAAAAAAAAAAGGGTCGGTTTTTTAAATGGTGACACACACAAAACACACAAGATGAGCATAAATGTCAGGGGTGAGTCAGCCAGCAGCAGTTAGAGTCTGGCTTAATCCTCCAGGAAACAGCACAGGTGCTCACTGCCCTCTTTCTACCCAGCTACCCTTTTTTCCCCAGCTTGTCTCATCTTTCGTTTGCAATGCAGCTTCTTGCTCTTTCAGTTACAGCAGGTCAAATCCAAACACACAACATCACTGAAGCATGATTATATTTAAAACCTGCAGGTTTCCTATCAACGTTCCTGCAGACCGACTCTGCAGCAGGACATGAAACTTACAAATGTTCATCTGTTATGTTTTGCAATCATTAATGCACCAGTAAATACAAAATCTTTAAAAAACCTGCATGTCTTGACCATGCAGCTCTGCTCTGAGATACTTCTGCTAATGTTGTGGTTTCTACTGATTACCAGCGCAGCACTTTAGTAGCAATTACGGGCTCAGCGAACTCGAGTAAAGCTCCCCAGAAATATAATCCAAACATGAAAACCCTGTGAATGAAGAGCTGCTGACTGAGGAGAATTAAATGTTAACTACGTTCTCAGTAAGTGCTACTGACCTGCCATCACAGCGTCACTGCACGGCTTTTCACAGCCGAGCGGCGCGTGGCTCGACGCTCTCCTGATCAGCTGACCTCCGATTGCACTGCTGCCCAAGCCGTCAATGTCTAAGAGACGAGGAACAGAGAAGTCACAACATGTCAAGTATTTGAATTTATACCCTCTACATATAATAAATCCCAAAGTCTGTCTGAGCAAACTGGGGTTCAGTATCTTCACTGTATCTTCTACACTGCCGTGCAGACTGGAGCAGCAAGGGCTCGAACCACCAACCTTTCAATTAGCAGATGACCTGCTCTACCTTTTGTGCTGCAGGCAGCCCTGAGGAAACTATCCAAACTCAGACACAGATTTAGGAGGTCTATGGATTAACATACAGAGCCTTTAGGTCCCTGCTAATAGAAAAGCTCAGTAACTGAACAGATAAAAAGTTGCCCGTGGAGAGGATGTGAGCAATTATAGGCATTACTATAAATACCAGAATTTAGCCAGGTCCCTGTTTGCAGGAACAAATAATTTATTTGGAGATGATACAGTCAAGGATAGCAAAAGATATTTTTAACTGGGACTTTTTGTTAAGTAAAATGAAACTGATGGTGTGGCGTGAACTACAAGCTGAATTTAAGGGTAGGTTTATGTGGGCTACTGTGTGAATACTATGTTGGGTTTTTTCTGTCTGTGTCATTTTGTCCTACACCTAAACTGATCATAATAATCTGGATGATGGGCACCAAGTACGACTGAGGATGAGCTGGAGGTAGTTTGGAGGGAGCTGCGTAGTGTTGGGGACAGAGGAGGGCAGGGCGGTGCGCTCAGCTGGTGAGGCCTGTAGGGGGAGCTCTCTGTCAGTCATCTGAAGCCACCTGGACAGTGTAGTGTAGCATAAGGGGCTCTCTCAGTGGCTAAGACACACACACACTCTTTTGCACCTTTCATAATAAATACTGTTGCTTCATTTATCTCTTAATCAATATTTTTCCCTTGTTATGGAGAGGCCTTTTGAGCCAGTGTGTGGAGACTAGCTGAGCACGTAGAAACTGTACAGGTGTGTGTGTGTACCTGTCAGCATGGTGATAAGCGGCAGTGTGTGGTCCTCTGAAGAACCCGAGAACCCAGACTCAGCCAGCAGGTTGCGCTCCAGCACCTGGTGGTAAAGCTCCTCGATCCAGGCCTGAGACAGAACCACGAGGACGCCGCTGCTCTGGATCAGACGCACAAACTCCTTCTGCACAACAGAACAAACGTCCACCCATTCAGTGTGACTGCATCCAATTCAGTGCTGTTATATTCAGGGCGGGAAGTTTTTTTTTATTTTCTTGTACTTTTGATGATAAAGTTGAAGTAGCTTAAATGTCTAAGTAGAGCTGATTCAGTATTTAGTTGGGTGGTTGTGTGGCTAGAGGAACACAAAGATACATCTATACCTTTAAATAAGCAATGCTGTACAAAGAGGATTCTTTGAAACTACAGGATGTAGTTGCATTGGTTTGGTTTTACTTCTTATCTTTGAATCTTTGTCTTTAAACACCGGAGAAAACTGATCAGAGGAAACGAATCTCGCTCTCACCAGGCTGAGGACGGGCGTGAGCGTTCGCCGCTTGTAGTAGCCGCAGCAGCAGAGTTTGAGATTGAGCAGCAGAGCGTAGTAAGACACCAGGTAAAGGCCGTCTGCGTTCATCAGAGACTGGCAGCTCAGAGTGTCGCCTGTCTCGAAACCTGGGGAGTGAATGCCGCCTGCAGGGACACAGATTTAGGATTACAAGTTACATCTGTAGAGGACGTGTCGGTGTTCTCAGAGGTCAAATGTGACGGATTATATATGAATTAATAACACCTACAGCACAAGTGAAAAAGAAAGAAAACTGAGACAGTGAGAGAGCCAATGAAAGGGAGTGTGCAGGTGAGAGCAGGCAGCGAGATACAATCTGTTGGCTGAAGGCGACTGAAGTGTTTTAATCAAAAACCTGCTCTGGGGATTTAAAGTCCAAACTATTTCATTAAGTCAGCTGAGCGTAACATTTCATTTAAGTCATAATTTTGCTCTGCTGATGTAAAAACTCCCAGCAGGCTTGCTGCTCTTAGCGATGGATGTCATGACTGTAAGGCAAAAAGTTTTCTTTAATAACTGTAAGAAAATAAACGTACTGCATTTAAACTACACACCGATGACAAATAACAGGAAAAAGCAAAATCCATGCCAGCAAAACCCTGACGTCAGCGACCTGTGCATACAAGAGGGTCTTTGTTACCGCACCGCAGTCAGAACAGAAATTTGTACTGATAATAAACTGATGCTCTTATAAAAAAGTACAAAAAACTAATCTGAAGTACCGCCTGCCAAATCTGTTGCAAAAGAAACATTACACAACAATGTTACGGGGATTTTAATCACATATTCGAGCCATTTAGAGGTTTTAAAAACAAGCATGGAACAAGACCAGAGAGTTTATGAAAGAACAACAACACCCACGACCCACACAGGACACCGCCACAGAGAGGAAGCCCAATCTGCACCAGAAACCGAAAGTGAACTCATTTAAGCTCCTGAATATTTTACCAGGTTTCCTCAAAGCAGCGCACACATACAGAAAACCGCATCTGAAGCTTGATGTTTTCTTCCACTACACAGTTATGCTGTTTATTTGAGATGCAATATTTTCTGCTACAGCTGATTTTTACTGAAACTTCAAAGAAAAGAGCGTTGCATCCATTCAGGTACCCCGACTGTCACTATTATCTATTAGAAGGAACAACCAGAGTTAACTTCTGAAGGTGTGAAGAACAGAAACATCTTCTTTAACTTTTATTGTTTTAATTATAAGGAGGTAAAAACACAGATGGGCTTGAAAGAAATTAGAAAAAAATAAGACAAGGCAGGCTGGAAGTTCTCTGGCAGTTCCCCGACCCCACAGGTAATGGTCTTGATTTCTAAATCATCAAATTTAGAGTGATTTAGAAAATGCATATATATTGTACATTAATTTAAAAAAGCATTTGTGTCCAAAAAACTCTTTAAGACTCTTTTCTCAATCTCATGTATTTATGGAGGAGCTCAGGAGAACCTTCAACAGTGAGAAGCTACAGACCTGTCAGTCAAGACACAGGAAACAGGCTTATAGAGGAGCTAGCATTAGCTAAAAGCTAAGTAGTGTTAGCTAAAAAGCTGGAAAAGCTAGCTGCTTATGCAAACGGCTAGAAAATGACTGTTTGCACTAACAGTGATTCAGCAAAGAATGAACTTCTCAATAGCGTCCAACAAAGCAAGATTTTTATTACCTCGCTCAGTTACAAAAAATAATCACCTTTGAGGTCAAATAAAATGAAAAGAAATGTAAATAAATATAAAATGCAGTAACAGAGCCACTCACAGAGCAGAAAAAACTGCATTAGCATGAGAACCTGTGCATTGTGACGTCACTAACTCTGCTAATTGGTTGAATGAATGTGCAGCCAAGGTGTTCATTAGTCAGACTAATCTCAGCAGTCTTCTGATTGGACGATGGGATAAGGAGATGGGGCTCATTTGCCTGATTGATGGGTTGACAGACTGAAACATGATATCATAAATGTTCCAGGAGTGTGCGAGGCAGTGTGGCATTTCCACGTAATTTTTCTTCTGAAGAGTTTTTATCCCCAAAGCACCCACCCTCCGTCAGCTGTGCAGACATGTTCTGCATTCAGCTGTTCGTGAGCGTGAGGAAATCTTATTAATCAGACCAACTAAAGGTGTGTTAGGACTGGGAAGGGGCCTTTGGAAAATGTAATTTAACCATGACCACAAAAATGTTGAGAACCTCAGCATTTAGATCATCTACTGTAGAAAAAAAGAAACAATAAATGTTATTCTTTAAACTGATTTTTAGCGTGTCTCCTTGTCATTGAGTTCTTGCAGTAGTAGAGATTTGTCTTGTCTTTGCACTCTGATATTCCCAGCGCATGCCTGCAGTGTAATATATTTACTTAAACAGGGAGAACCATCTCCTCCCTGAGCAAATATGTGTGTGTTTGAGTAGCAAACTCATGCAGATCGCAGTACAGGAATCACTCCACTGCAGTAAATCTAACCTCCCTCCCTTCTCCCCTCACTCACCAGCCTGCAGTCCAGAGCAGAAGGTGGAAGAGAAGTTCTGCAGCGACATGTCCACCTCCGTGGCAGTGGACATCCCCAGCAGGCGGGGCAACTGTCCAGCCAGAGACTGCACGAACAGTCTGGCGCTTTGCTGGTCAGCCTCTTGGTTGCGGAGCAGTTTGAGGGACAGGGCGGCAGTGCGCAGGGAGCGGTGACCTGGGAAGTCGCGGGACAACTGCTGGTCCTCGTCAGCCAGCGACATGTTGTCGGACCCGATGTCGGAGACGTCAGAGCGCCCCGAGTCTTTCTCGGCAGCCATGGAGTACTGATCGCACGAGTCAAACTCTGTCCGTGACAGGTCCTGCTCCTCCATGCTGGTGGGCAGCAGGAAGAAGCATGAGATTGTTTTTATTATTTATATATTCTTTCTTTACTTAATTACTATTTATCATAATTTCAATTCAGCAACTAGAGAAACAGCAGTACCTGAAGTTGCTCTCGCTGTATCGTGACCCTCCTCCGTGGTGCGACCGAGACCTGGATTCCACAGACAGGAAGTTCGTGATGTCGGGGTAGACGAGGGCGTGACTCCTTTGCACCACATCTGGAGGAACTGCACCTCCTCTCTCTCCGCCTCCACCTCTTTCTTTCTCTCCTCTTCCCTCCACCTCCCCTGTGGGCACCCCTCCTTCCTCCTTCTGGCCTCCCTGGTTGGGCACGGGGATCGGCTGGTGTTTGGTTTCCTCCTGATCGCCACAGAAAGAAGGCGAAGGGAGACGAGCGTCCTCTCCACACTCCTCCGGACTGGTGTGGCCCACAGCGAGGCTGAGCTCTCCCACCTCTAAATCCAGGGTGGTTTGGCCCGTTTCCGTGGTGATCCTGATGCTGATGTCAGGGCTACGCTCAGTGGTGCCGGTGGTGGCCACATTGGAGGAAGAAGAGCTGGGGTCCCACGGAGGCTGCTCTGAGGACAGGATGTGTCTCTGCCACCTGAAGTCAGCCTCGTTGATCTCCATGGACTCACGTGTCGACTCGGTTCCATCTTTCAGATCGTCCAGTCGTCTGAGGAGAAGCCGAGCCTGGAGAGCGCAGCTATGTTACCGTTTTATACGTAATCAACACCAGAGCCCATATTATGCTGATTCAGAGACCCAAGAGCTGCCACTTGTTAACAAAATCCCACAAACATTTTAATGATGGACGGCCACCGAGAGAGCTGCTCATTCATTGGTTGAGGGCTGTCAAACTAACTGCTAGGAATGCATTAAGTATCACTGGGTTACACAGTGACATAGAGACCTTCTTTTGGCCTGAACACTAAATCCAAACCCTTTGCATGCACAAAAGTGCTACTTAAATAAGTAATACGTTAAACCCCAGAATGGCCCTTTAATGCTGTGGTTCCGTGTGTTGTCTGCATACCTGCTCAGGCTGGATGCCACGGCCCTGTGACAGCTCATCCAGTGCGCTGAGAAGGGCACAGGCACAAGACACGGAGGAGTAACACGCCTCGATGCCTCCTTTCATACAAGCCTCTGTCATCCCATCCATCACTCTGCCACGGGAAGCAGAAACAAACAGCTCAGTATAGGATTGATCGCCAAATGACGTGAGCGAACACATTACTTTGATTTCTACTTTAATTTGGACCGAGTGACGATTGAAACAATGTGCAGCAAAACAAAGAGTACGGACAAACATCCCTGGGTGACAGATTTCAGGTTGTTAAATTTCAGAAACAGAGCAAACACCAAGTGAACAAAGTTAAGAGTTACTAACAGTCTGAGCAGGTCCAGGTGGGACTTCCTCTTTGAGAATGATCGCTTCCTGGTCTCAGGCTCAGCCATGCAGGGACCGGCGAGGTCATACAGCCGCTGGGGGCTGCCCAGAATCTGCCACAGACGAAAGCATTAAAGCTTTTGCTGACATGGTTCTAAAAACATATGCAGGCAGGTTATCCCAAATGTCAGACTGTTACTGGACCCCTTCGAGTGCATGATCCTCGGAGGTACTTGTGAAAACTTTGCTGAATAAAGATTAGCAAAAGGCTGCCTGTCAGTGAAAAATGATATTATAAACGTAGAGAAATGTCTTTGTCCCACCTCCTTCATGATGCGGATGGCCTCGGTGCGGTGCTGAGGAGGAGGGTAGAGGAGGATCCTGTGGTAGAGCGACTGGAGCACCGGTTTCATTGACTCGACGCAGCTCACCAGACGCACCAGCTCTGCTGCAATGTAGCAAACTGTGCGCACTACCGGTGCAATCCTGGCAGGGGCGCTAGAGGAGCAGCCAGAACCTCTGCCCTGATCGGACAGTCCTCCGCAGGAGGAGTCCACCTCCTGGCCCATTCCTGGGAGAACAAAACAAAGAGGGGCATGAAGCTGAACCCATGAAATCATGCTGATAGAAAGCTTCCTCCTATAAGAACTCATGTCTCCTTAAACTCCTGCAGCAGTGAGTGGAAACCAACACTTTTCACACTGTTAGCTTCAGTCGTGATCTTCATAGCTGCATCAGGCTCCGTTTATGAGCGATCAGTAATTAGGTATTGATTTTCCCCCCTTTCTTGGCGCTTGAATTCCTGATAGAGATTAATTTCCACTGATATTCGCTTTCAAATTGTTGCAAAAAAACAGACAAACTCCTACAGCGGATTCTTTAGTAAATTCAGTTACCTAAACTGAGTCTCTCTGAGAGGCGGTCTCGGTCTGATGCCGCTGAGTAGCCGTGGTGGGAAGCAATAGTTTTGTCATTGACGGGATTGCCCATGATTGCCACCAGGGATGGGCACAGCTGCTTCCTGGGAAGAGGAACATTAGCGATTTTTATTGATTACATCGGACTACGATCAACTCCAATTAGGACAACAGTGAGGGACCAGTTGATGAAATTTTACTCAGTGAGTCTTACCACACGAGGTCTGTGAAACCTCTGAAGAGGTGCATTGTGGGAGGGCAGCTGCTGAGCATAGAAAGGATGCACTCCAGGTAGAGTAGCTGCAGGAGCTGGTTATCACTGGGAGATTAAAATAAAGAAATGGTTACTGTATTAAACTAGGAAGCTTCCAGGAAGAAACCATGGAAGTGCAGAGGAAACATGCAAACACTGTTTAATGTGGTAAAGCTGACATTTAAAACGAAACCACACGAATGAGCTAAACAGCAGCTAAACTATGTGCAGTTTTTCAACCTTTTCCTGGGCGCCTTCATGTTTGTTCTCATTACTTACACTGAAAGGAGATGAAACACTAATGAAAGCAGAGTGATTATCAGTGACGTCGGCCCATCCTTTGCTCCAAAATCATATATCTGTGTTTTTGTTTCTGTGTTTGGATCAGTCTGACTGAATTATCACCTCCATATCGAGACAAGAGAAATATAACAGAATATTAGTGAGTCAATGAGAATCTGCAGCGTTACCTGTCCACTGACTCCAGCTTTTCACAGAAAACGGTCAGAACCGTGACCACATCTTCACACAGAGCTTGGCTGGTGGGAGAAATATCTGCAAAAAGCCACCCCCCCCCCCCACACGCACCATAAAAAGGTTAATTTGTGGTTCCTGCTTTATCATTCGCCACTATGTACATGAAGTGATAAAAAATCATTGCTTTCCCAATTTCCTCTCTCTCAGTTTCCCCTCTAAGAAGCAGAATAAATCAGTTCCCTCACTGGAACCTGTTTGGCTCTCTGCCTGCAGAGGCATCTATCGAAACAGTGCATTTGACTGTTTATGGTATCATAAAAGCAGCCCTGCCAGTCTCTCTCCGAAGTTGCTTCTTACTACCAGGAGATTGGTGATTACAGTGGCTTTATAACAGCTACAAAACAGTTGGAGCTGCACACTAAACATGACAAAGAGCCCACAGCCACCAGTGGCTCGCAAGCTTTAATGCTGAACTCACACAAGAAACTAAACTTGGACATTTTCACCATTGCTGGGCCAAACTAGTGTCTCTATGCCTCCACCAACCAGTGATGCTTTAACTTTCACATGCCACTCATAAAATGGGCAATAATGTCCCCAGTCCAGCATTCAGAAAGCACTTGGTGATAGTGGGGAAGAAGAACTCCCTTTTAACATGAAGAGACCTTCAAGAAAACCAGGCTCAGGGAGGAGCAGCCATCTGCTTTGACCAGAACAAAAACGTTTTATTGTGTGTACTGCAGGGGCCAATTCAGCGTGAACATGAGCGGGACTGGCAATCAGGGAGCTTCCTGTTAGGTCAGAGTGATCTTAAGGCTTTTATTTAGTCTCTGCTGGACACTCATACCCTACAATGGTCCTGTCTGCAGCATTCATAGTAAGATATTAGGCAGTGAAATGCTGTGCTCATATGCAATATTACATATTAGGAGGTGAGAAGTAAATCCCTACAGCTGACAAAGGAAGCTGCAGAGGTGAGAGAAACCCCTGGCAGTGATGTACCTCGTCTCTGCAGCGGCGGTGCAGTCACCTCGTCTCCATCTGCACCCTGGAGAGGAACACACACAGGAGGCATGCTTACTGTTACTTCGGTGTCAAAACAAATGCGGTACTGTACGTTATGCTTTTATCTACCTGTAATTTTCTACTAGTTAATGTGTGCACATACAGTGGGGCAAAAAAGTATTTAGTCAGCCACCGATTGTGCAAGTTCCCCCACTTAAAATGATGACAGAGGTCAGTAATTTGCACCAGAGGTACACTTCAACTGTGAGAGACAGAATGTGAAAAAAAATCCATGAATTCACATGGTAGGATTTGTAAAGAATTTATTGGTAAATCAGGGTGGAAAATAAGTATTTGGTCACCTCAAACAAGGAAAATCTCTGGCTCTCACAGACCTGTAACGTCTTCTGTAAGAAGCTTTTCTGTCCCCCACTCGTTACCTGTATGAATGGCACCTGTTTGAACTCATCATCTGTATAAAAGACACCTGTCCACAGCCTCAAACAGTCAGACTCCAAACTCCGCCATGGCCAAGACCAAAGAGCTTTCGAAGGACACCAGGAAAAGTATTGTAGACCTGCACCAGACTGGGAAGAGTGAATCTACAATAGGCAAGCAGCTTGGTGTGAAAAAATCAACTGTGGGAGCAATCATCAGAAAATGGAAGACATACAAGACCACTGATAATCTCCCTCGATCTGGGGCTCCACGCAAGATCTCATCCCGTGGGGTCAAAATGATCATGAGAACGGTGAGCAAAGATCCCAGAACCACACGGGGGGACCTGGTGAATGACCTGCAGAGAGCTGGGACCAAAGTAACAAAGGTCACCATCAGTAACACACTACAACGGCAGGGAATCAAATCCCGCAGTGCCAGACGTGTTCCGCTGCTGAAGCCAGTGCATGTCCAGGCCCGTCTGAAGTTTGCCAGAGAGCACATGGATGATACAGCAGAGGATTGGGAGAATGTCATGTGGTCAGATGAAACCAAAGTAGAACTTTTTGGTATAAACTCAACTCGTCGTGTTCGGAGGAAGAAGAATACTGAGTTGCATCCCAAGAACACCATACCTACTGTGAAGCATGGGGGTGGAAACATCATGCTATGGGGCTGTTTTTCTGCCAAGGGGACAGGACGACTGATCCGTGTTAAGGACAGAATGAATGGGGCCATGTATCGTGAGATTTTGAGCCAAAACCTCCTTCCATCAGTGAGAACTTTGAAGATGAAACGAGGCTGGGTCTTCCAACATGACAATGATCCAAAACACACCATCCGGGCAACAAAGGAGTGGCTCCGTAAGAAGCATTTGAAAGTCCTGGAGTGGCCTAGCCAGTCTCCAGACCTCAACCCCATAGAAAATCTGTGGCGGGAGTTGAAAGTCCGTGTTGCTCGGCGACAGCCCCAAAACATCACTGCTCTCGAGAAGATCTGCATGGAGGAATGGGCCAAAATACCAGCTACTGTGTGTGCAAACCTGGTAAAGACCTATAGTAAACGTTTGACCTCTGTTATTGCCAACAAAGGTTATGTTACAAAGTATTGAGTTGTATTTTTGTTATTGACCAAATACTTATTTTCCACCCTGATTTACGAATAAATTCTTTACAAATCCTACCATGTGGATTCATGGATTTTTTTTTCACATTCTGTCTCTCACAGTTGAAGTGTACCTCTGGTGCAAATTACTGACCTCTGTCATCATTTTAGGTGGGGGAACTTGCACAATCGGTGGCTGACTAAATACTTTTTTGCCCCACTGTATACATCTGTATAATATATCTGTGTGTATATAATTAAAGTATTGTGTGACCTCCTGTCTGTGGCGGAGCTGTAGCGTCAGGTCTCCCAATATCTGGCTCAGCGTGGCTCTCACCGCCGTGTTGATGCTGCGCTGGTGACAGCTGGACATGTAGGTCTCGATGCACACCTACACACACACACACACACGAACATCTGTCAGTGTGTGGTCTTTCTTATGTCACTAAACCAGAAAAACCATGACGCACTGTGCCAAGAAACCATCACAGACAGACACCGAACTGTTGGACAGATTCATAGGAGCTTTCCATGGCGTCACTGGTTACTATGGTAACCAGACAAGAGAGCAGCAGGGGCAAGGGGATGTATTGTCAGTGTCAGACATCTTTCAGGCAGATTAGAAGGTTACAGAGTAAACACTGTGCATCTGTGGAAGGTAAGACAGACGTTAGCTAGTAGCTGAGCACACACACACATCGGGTATTCATCTAATTGACATAACGCTTTCCCTAGCCACCCACCCTAACCATGAAAAATGAATGCCTAACCCTAACTCAATTGTAACCCTGACACTAAAACCACATTTTGACATTTTCACTTGTGGGAACTGGGATATTGGTCCCCACAAGTATAGTAAACGTACAATCTTTGGTCCCCACAAAGATATGAATACATGCTCACACACACAAACACACAGCCATTTATAACACATGCTTTCCCGCTTTGCTTTTTGCATTTAAAATCAACTATACCGTATTCTCGGGATATCTCACTGTATCCCAGGAGTACAGTTAGGGTTTTTCACATGTTGCTTTGATTAATGCCATACTCTGAAACTTTTTTTTGTGACCAGGTGCAGCAGACTCCTGTGACTCGCTGGGAGATGACAGGAAAGAGACGAGTACAGAAAAAACGGCTCTTTTCTCCTTCAAAATAAAATGCTATCCTAGGGTATTCATCTGTTCCTGGATTGCTGGGACTGAACCAGCCAGGGAGGAAGCATGAATGCTGGTTTGCTAATGTCACAGTAAAGCATAGCGCTTATTCTACATGAAATTAAAAACAGACATTATGAATACAATTATTTCATATAGAATTAAGGAGGGAATTTCAAGTATTTTGTTTTCTGTAGCATTTTTGCTAAATATTGTCTGTCACATCTGGGCACCTTAGAAACAATGGAGATCTTAATTCACATAACAATTCTTTTTTTTTTTCTTTTTTTTCACATGAAAAAAACAAAAACAGCAAAAAAACAAACATAATACGCACTGACAATAACATAATGGCACAGTGAAACCGTCAGACCAGCCCGGTCTGGGGGAGCTCCCCTCCACCTCTTTACAGGTCCCATGTCGTCAGGTTTTTGCTACTGTCCACGCAGCACTTTACAGTCCATCCCTGATGATATTCGGAAGGCTATTTCCAGTCTCTTTTATGACCTGCCTTCTAAAAAACAGTGACCACGTCCTTAGCAGGCCTTCCTTCTTCCAGTAGTTGTGTGAAAATACTTAGTTAAGCTCTGGTTATATAACCCACCACCCACCACCCATCATCCCACATTACCACCTACAACAAATCTCTCCCACTTCCTCCAGATTTTAAGAAATTGGTCCATTTTGTGGTTCAAAGAAAATGTAAGTTTTTCCATTCTATGTATTTCCTCCATTATTCCTATCCTATCTTTCTTTGTTGGGGGCTCTTTCTCCAGCCACCTCCTGGTAAGTGCTTTTTTGCGCGCTCCCAACAGAATATTTATCAAATATTTGTCCCTTAAGGAGGCTGCTGATGGGATATCGCCCAAATACACAGTACAGAAATCCAAATCACATAACAATTCTTAATCCAAGAGTGGGGTTTAATGGAAGAGCTACAGAGCTTGTTGATAACAAAATGTGTAAGCCAAGATTTATTTGACCAATTATCAAATTTCTGTTCCATCCTGTGAGCTCAGAGGGGCTGAGAACTACCAGGGCCAACCTCACGTAGAGCCTAAACAAAGACCACATTTGCTAATTACATTTGAAATCTTGGCAGCTTCAGGGATGTTTTACACCACCTGCTCCCAATCAATAAAAAAAACAATACATCCTGCACCATAAGGCACTCACAGATGGGATGAATATGCATGTGAGAGGGACAAGAGAGCAAGGAACAACCTCAAGGTACCTCTTGAATTAAGAGTTGCTCCGGCTCCTTCAATTTTAATGCTCACACTTCCTGCAAGCAATCGATACTCCACCTTGTTTTTTAAAGCGCTGCCAGTTAGTGTAAGTACAAACATGTCTGAGGGTTATATTAGAACCTACATAATGTGGGGTTCATATAGTACATGCACAGGGTACATTTATTTAAACAACGCTTAAAAGCTAAAAGCTTGTGTTGTACAGCCACAAACAAGAAGAAAACAACAGATCAATAAAGCTCCTCGGTAACAAAATACTCATATTCCTATTTTGCCTCTAGGTAGCACTGGTCAGTTGCTACAAAACAACCTACTGAATATAAAAGATGGGGGGGAAACACCGCGATGTATTAGTATTAGCACTTTGAAACTAAAGTGACCATATTTTTGACGAGGGGATAAAGTGCTATGCTACAGGCTAACACAAGTAAGCGGCACCTATAAATTATACAGGTGCGACAGCGACAGAGGCTGCACGAACTAACAAGTAACAGTATGGTGGCTACATCCATTTTTTATTTACAGTCTCTTTTTTTTTTTTTTTTTTTTTTTTTTTTCTAAATGACATCAGAAACAGCAGTATGCGACATTACGTGATGGCAGAGCTTCAGTTCATCCTTTGTCATTTTTTTTTTTTTTTAAATTTTTTTTTTTTTATAATAAATAGGACAGGGGGAATGAATGAGAGAGAGAGGGGGAGAGAAAGAAAGAAAACCAAAGGGGAGAAGAGACGGTGAGAAGGGGGGGGAAGAGAGAGAAAAAAAAAACAAAACTCCTGGGTCACCTGTATGGAGAAAAAAAAACAAAAAACAAACAAACAAAAACAAACAGAGGAGACAGCAAACAACAAAGAGCAACATAATAATAGAGAAAACAAAGCACCATCACAATAAACTAGCTAGTCATAGATATCAGTATTTACTAAGTAATAAACGATATTGTGCAGCACGCAAGATAGACAGCGCACAGTGTGCTTTGAGGCAGCAGCCAAGAAAGCTTTAGTCCGCGTCTGTGAATACCCATGTGTGCATACCTGTGTGGATCAGCATGCTTGCATTCCAAAGGTTTCTCCATGTAATGATCTGCTAGGGAGTGTGGGGGGGCCACAGCCCCGTCCTCCAGGGTGTGAAGCGGGTATGGAGGAGATCAAAACTCCAGACATCCAGAGGCCCCCAGAACACAAGAGACCATGGAAGACCAACAGAGGGGCAGCCGCGCCACTGTCCCAGTAAGAGCTGAGGAGAGTCCCAGATGAGGGCTCGCCCAGCAGCCGCGGAGCAGAAGTCAGGGGGAGTTGCAGTGACGCGCCCGTGAGCTCCGCCGGCCCCCAGCTGCGCCTGAGTGACCGAGCCCTAGGCCGAGAGGCCGGGGGCACCCCACCTCCACAGGGGCCCGAGCGAGCCCCAGGCCCCAGGCCCCGACAAGCGGCCGCCAAGGAGTGAGCCGGTGTGTACCCGGACGCCCACCCCCAGACACAAAGAACCACCAACACACCGACACCTGAGGGAGTCCGCCACCGGCAGGGGAAGTGGTGGTGGGTGGAGATAGGCCTCCAAACCTTGGAGGGCCTGAGGTGTCCCCAGAGAGGTGGCGTCTGATACCCAACCTGACATATAGACACAGACATACAGGCACACACAGACACAAACATCCATTCCCACCCTCATGCTCTCATATGCACTCACTCCACACTCAACCAACGTGGAGACAGACATAAAGAGACGCTGTACGCACAATCACACTCCCCAAGCGTACTCTACAAACCGGGTCTAGGTACCCTTGCCCCTGGAGGGGGGAATTGCACCCAGACCCAGTCTCTGAGTCTGAGAATGACTAAACTGTTGCCACCTGTTCAACCTGTAGTCAGGTTTCAATTTTCAGCTTTATTTGTGGCAAATCCCCCCAACAGTCACCTCAAGGCATTTTATATTGTAATGTAAAGACCCTACAATAACACAACCCTAACAATCAGATGACCCCCAATGAGCAAGCGCTTGGTACCAGTGGGGAAGAGCTGGGGAAGGGAGACAGGACAAAAAACACACAACCTGTGGTCTACTGAACATTAATGAGTTAGTCTGTTTGATGTAAGAGTCAAATGTTTGGGAACAAGAAAATTATTTACAGTTAAAATAAGGATATCCATCCATCCATCCATCCATCCATCCATCCCCTTCAGGGCCACAGCTGGGTTGGATTCATAGGGCATGAAGTTGGGTACACCAGTCTATCGGAGGGTTAACACACTAATACATCTGAAGTGTCTATAGTTGTATGGCAGGTTACATTTCATGTAACTGATGACCACATTAGAGAGATGGGGCGTAAGCCTTGAGCTCTCCGTGTTTGACAATGCATGAATCTCTCAGCGCTGCCAATCCCTCCATTAAAATAAATAAATACATTAGAAAAAAACTGTCCTGGCCCTATTTGCCTAGATGTTTTGATAATGGAGTGTTGCTGACAGCCTTTCCAGCCACCCTGAGTTATGCCCCAATGCAAATACAATACACTCACACACCAGATGGCCAGCCCTGACAGCACAGAGCCCATTAACACGCCATGGTGACTGGGTTTTTACGAGCTGTTAATGGACGTCAAACATCACTTAGCTGCAGGAGATGTTGCTTCTGCTGCTGGGGGAAGTGACGTGACAGAAAACATTTGACATAAAACACTCGACCACGCTACGATCAGGTGGTCTGAACATTAATGACTAGCATGACGTTTCTGCTCAGTATAAACAGTAGAACTGTAGAACACTGTGTGTTCTGAAACGTCTTTCTTAGAACCAAACGTCCCATTGTACAGTAAGCTGTCAGCGTAAAGTCTAATCTTTGCATTGAACTGATTAGTGTCTTGAGATGATTTGACACCGTTCTTTTATTCATGACTCCAAATCAGTTTTACCTAATATAAACCAAACTGAATGAGGCATCCATTATGAAACAGCCCAAGGAGCAAGTTACGAACCTGAGCTATCGAGAAACGGGGGATTACTTTTTTATGTTCTATAAAGACCAAAAGGGAGGCTGAGTCTAAGAATGACTCAGGGCAAAAAAACGAAAGTTTCTGAATTTTATTCATCAGTGTTTTTACTGCTGGTGGCTGTACAACGCGGACAACCCAGTTTAAACGTTTGTGAATGAAACTGTCTCCTTGAGCACTTCTGGACTGCTTCCAGCACAGCTGCTATTTTAAAAGCATTTCCTGGGAGTCCCAAACCTTGCAGACTGCACCAGTTCCACACAGAGCAAACATTAACGTCAGTGTCAGCTTGACCCAAGTTTAATTTCAGGGATCATCACTACCCACGGGAGCTGAGACTCCAGCTACATCTCAAAGACCAGGCTGCAGGTCTGCAGCACATCCCTGTTTTTTCTCCTTACATTGAGAACATTGAGCACTACTTTTACTACAGTTACTTTAACTATCATTACTATTAATATCATTATTATCATTATCATCTGGTGCAGTGCCACCCAAGGAGACGACCTTGAAGGGGTTGATGTGTCATATTTGAATTTGTGATTTTAAGCCAGTTGTGATCACACCTCCTAATAAAAACAAGATGCTATCTGTTCTCTTGAACCCCATTCACTGTGAACCCAGCAAAACAGAAGAGCTTAATCTATAATCTATCTTAATCTATAGTTTAATACAGAACTGAACCTGCTGACCTTCAAGGCCGGGGCACCGCCTGACGTGTGCAGTATGTCATCAGGCAGGCGGTGCTGGACATTTATCCAGTCTCTTCAGCTATACGTTCTCATGCTCATTATAAGTACGCTGTTCAGCAGAAATCAAAGCAAGCTGAGGCTTGAACTGGGAACAGATGTTCTTGATTACAGCAAAACTGATGATGATTACACAGACGTGTTCCAGTAATATGATGATAATACAGCCTTAAAAACCATGAGTAAGAAGCTTTGTACAGATTGCTAAGCCAGTGAACCTGGTGCAGACCTTGGTACTTCCAGCACGTCACGGTTTTATTGGTTTTATTGGCAAATATTTTCATCTGCACAGCCCTGCCTCTTTGTTTGTGTGTCTGTAGGAAAACTCATCTCACTTTTCTGAATAATTGATGAGATTACAGTATGAGATGAGGCTTGAGGGCAAGTGAGGACAGAGAAACGCTTCACCTTTTAAAAAAAAGATCCATGTTCAGCTCGCTGTGCTAACAGTTCACTTTCCTTAAAAAAAAAAATGCAACGCCCTCTATCATCGGTTCAGTCTGAGACAGCCTATTCAAAGCTGGTACTATGAAAAAAAGTCTGCGTCATGAGGCAACAAGCAGGAACAAGCTAAACAGAAAATGATGCAAATTCTTTTTAACATGTTTGAATTTTCCTCGTTTGGCCGTCCAGTCCAAGTTTAGTCCGGCCCATAAAAGTCTGTCTAATCATTTCAGAATAATTCCAGGCGACAGCAATACAGAAAAAGTCTAAAACTTAATGTAAGAGCTGGAAAAAGAATCCAGGAAAGAAATTTCTGCACAGTGATGAAGTCTGTGAATGTATTTGTTTATGCATTTATTTATTGCCAAGTAAAAGCTCATGTATCTGATTATGAAGATGAGTCGCATCAGTCTCAGGCTGCCCTACCTCAGCAATCCGGAGGATGGAGTCTCCATTAATGTCAAAGTTTGGTGAGTAGGTGATACAGAGCAGGACCTGCACACAGGAGAAACACACTCTTAATAAGCAGGGATATTGCATTTCATCATTTCGAGCTGACTGGAGACCAGAACAGCCAATCCGATTTTTTTGCATCCAAGTCTGTGATTGGCTGGTTGTCTGGCACAAATATAACGGTGTAGAGAAAGAGTTGAGCGCGCACGGGCAGAAATGTTGAGAGTGCGAGCAACACATTGCGAGCGAGCGCAAATGCAAAGACTGAGCGAGAGGGGCTGCTATTGTGTGTGTGTGTGTGTGTGGATAACAGCAAACACTGAAATACATTTTTTGCACGCAGCAATGAATTTTGTTCACTCAAATTCAGCTTTTCTTCGCTCAAAGAAAAATTTCTCCTCAAAATACAACACTTGCACCTGCAAATTTTTTTACGTGCGCTCAGAATAGTGGCACAAAAATAACGGCATACTAAACTGCTTTATTTTCATATTAACTATGCCCAAAGCTGCAAACAAAGTTAATGTATATATAATTAATAGCTGTGAGCCAAAAGCTCAGGTTGCACACTGCTCTAAAAACTGTGCTTCATGCTGTTTGTTCAACTCTTGGCTCGATGATTCTATTTACAAGGGCCAATCAGAAGAAAGCTCGTCAGTAACAGCAAAAGGGGGAGGAGCTAAACCAGCTTATTTCAGGCAAAGGATGACATGGGAGCTGTACAAAGACCAAATAAGATACTTATTTATAATAAGTAATCATGCATTAAATAATACAATAATAATGCAATAAGTAATCATGCAATCATGCAAACCTACTCCAGTAGGGTCCAAGAATAAAATATGGAGGTGGAAATCGCTACCATAGCAGGTTCACTTTACATAGGCTAAGTGCACTAAGGAGCGTGCTCCAGGAAAATACAGTCAATGTTAGAAAATAACATCAGTTTTGGGGTCTAAATGATTCGAAATTGACACTATTTTAAGTGTGTTCACATTAAGTGTAGCTACATGATGAGCAGTGTGGGCACTCAGAACTGTAGACTTCTTTCAGTCCAGTTTCACAGAACAATTTTCAGCACCAAGGACAGCACCGGCTGCACCACCACGCAAGCCTGGAAGTTTCATGCATGACACAAGTACAACCATCTGTCATCATTTCAGCCCCAAAAACACATTCCCAGGTCTTACTTTCATAACTTCCACCTGCAAGTCTTCATGGAGAGATGGGGTAACTCTGATAGCCTCCAACATCTGGCTGAGCAGCTGTTTCTCCAGTGCCTCCACCTCCACACTAGCTCCACCCACAAACCTGTCCTCACACAGGAGTTTCTGTGTAGAGAAAAGCTACAGCTTCAGTTTGTACCTTCCACTTTAAGCTGGTGTCAGAGTTCAATCAGAAAGGTTTAAATAAAGACGAATAAAATCCAAATAAATAAATAAAACCTTTATTTATACATTTGTGTCTTCCAGTACCTGCATGCCAGTAAGTGCAGTCTGTCCCAGTTTGGTGTTTTTTGACTCCAGAGCCATCTGTAGAGGCAGCAGACAGCGCTCTCTGGAAGCAAACACAACATAGTAATGCAGGCAGTGCAATCACAGCTCTCTACAATCTCTGAAGATTAGCTGACACGATCACAGGCAGTCAGGGATTGGTGTCAATAAAGTGAGCGAACACAGACTTTGGAACAGAAAAAAATGCTAAATATGGAGTGAATAAATCTTGGAGTGGAAGTTAATAAATTAAGCTTTAATAAATGAGTTCTCATCAATGATTAGTGGTTGAAAATGGTTATGTTGCATAGGCGGAATATCTCTTAAAGGCTGTGAAACTGTGTGTGCAGTACTTCAGAGATGTGAGAAGAAAACAGATCAGCAGATTATCAGAACGTCTCCTTTTTCACCTCCATCATAAATCTGTGCCCTCCTCCAAAACCGAAGCATTATAGTTTACAATCGTTACAGTAACAAGTCAGGAGGAGCAATTTACTTGAGCTTCTCTTGTCTGGCAAAAGTCTTCATTGGCCAACCCGTCTGATGGGTGAGGGGAGCGTAAGTCATAAAGTTGAACTACATTCTAGTTCTTGTGTCCTTAGAGCTGCATATAAGCAACATTTGTAATAAACATCAAACCTGGGCTGGAGGTGGGTTGCAAAGCATCTTGCAGAAGTGCCACACTGTTTTCTTGCTAAGGTCATGCTCAATTAACCTCTTTCCTGATGAGTTTACTGCTGGTTTCAAGTCACTCTGTGCAACATGGTGTCTGTTTTATAAATTGTGGCCCACAATAACATCCAGAAGGATATAAAGCAAAGTATGCGTCAGGGTGGGCCTACCTCATGGCTGATTAATATCCCATATCATATCACACCACATGAGCTCACAATGTCAGCTGGTTTCTCAGTCAGATCCGCCCGTCACACGAGCAAAATGCTAAGCTTAAAACTTTGCACAGGGAACCCAAATAATCTCAGCAACCACATCCTTTGCTAAATAAGCTTTTCACGGTAGCTTCACGCAGATATCTTTATGTAAACCAGCTACTGTGTTGCTTCTCCCGCCGTTTCTTCCAACTCTCTTTCCACTCGCTCGCCCTCCATCTCCCTCTTGTTATTTGTGGTTGGTTGAGTCACCACGCTCTGCTGCTGATTACAGGATACTGAGCTTCATCTCTGTGCTCTCAGGCTGCTCTGAGCTGCCACAACTCGACCACTCAAGCAGGCTGTGAGGAGCCACAGTTTGCACGGCAGTTACCCACAACCAGACCATTTATGAGCAACAAACAACACAGACAACAAAGTCAAAAGACAAAAAGGCAAACATTTGGGTGAAAAACATTGAGAATTTGTCATTTAAACACCAAACTCAGTCACTTTTGAATTTGATTATTTATAATTAAATACATTATAAATTAATCTTCCATCAGTCTGTCAATCAAGTCTGTTCTTTAGCATCTCTCCTTCAGAGATAACAGGCATGAAGTCTTATCTGTAGAGCCAGAAGAACACACTAGTAGAGAAATCATGGCACTATATTACAAAGACATTATCATCAATATTTAATCTAATACGCTCTAATAAAACAACACAGATTATCACGTGAATAATTCATGCCGTGTTGGGAATTTACGGGACCATCACGAGCTGCTGGCCACCAGCAGCAGCAGCTCCATCCACTTTACACTTTACTGAGTTTTACTCACAGAAACAGTCACAGATTCCTAGATTTCAAACTCACTACAGCGACTGCAAGAATCAGACAGATCATATTATTGCATCCCCTCTAATTAAAAAACTCCACCAAGAGATCACTGAACTCTAAAAATGTCCAACTGGGTTTTTTGGAATGATTTAAAAGGTGATTAGCACAAAAGCACTTGGACTCAGTAGCACAAACTCCCCTCACATTAGAGAGCTCAGGTGTTATCAACACTGCTTTTTCTCTCAGCTCTTTTAGTTTGTGGTGCTCTCGTACTCATTTAAATAATAGAAATACTGAAAACTCTGAGTTAAACTGTACGATAACAAGAAAAATACTGCAGCTGTACCTATCATTGCTTTTATTCTGATGGGGACCAAACTCACAAAATAAATATAACACTGTGTTAAATAAGATTTGAAAATAGTGAACGTGTTTACTGAGGTCAAGGGTCAAATGGGAAATACGGCCTTTTTAACCAGAGGAGTCGCCCCCTGCTGGCCAGCTGATTTGTTTACTGAGTCAACTGCTTTGAAAAATTCATGTTTTTATTTTAACACCTGTAGTGATGTACCTAAATCTCTATACAATAATCACGCAAAAAAGAAATTTAATAAAATAAAAATAGGCATTTTCAAACAATTTAAACTAAATTGAATAAAAAGCAAAAACTCAAGAAGCAATACAAATACAAACTACATAGAAAATGTAATATATCCATCTATCTATCTATCTGTAAATAGTCTATGATCACAGTGTATATCTGACAGCCCAAAAAAGGATCCTGCTTGTCAAAGTAGCCTCAGATACACATAATAATAATAATAATAATAATAATAATAATACATTTTATTTAAAAGTACCTTTCAAGATACCCAAGGACACTTAACAATAGAATAAAACAAAATAGAAGAATGACAATAAAGAACAACACATAAACAAGAGCACAAGATAAAATAAACAATGAGTTCATAGTGAAGATGCAGATTTGAACAGATGAGTTTTAGCTGTCAGTGTGTCCAGGCTACTGCAGTTTAAACTGATCACTTCTCTGACAATCAAACGTCCAAACTGAAGCAATGCTGAGCTCAGAGCTCGCGCTCAGTATTTGCATTATCAACTCAGAAATGACTCCTCTGTCATTTTAATCTATTCAAATCAGGCAGCTTTGAGAAAACTGATGTTTTAAGCCACAAAGTTCTTAGCAGTTTAAATTTCAGTATTCAGTTGTCGGTGACAGATTAGCGATTTGTCCAGGGTGTACCCGGCCTCTCGCCCCATAATAGCTGGGACAGGCTCCAGCCCCGATAAGGATAAGCAGAAGAGAATGAATGAACACTATCAGGTTAGCTAAAGGCAGGAACATTTCACACTGTCGAAGACGCCTCCTTCAAAACAAACCACAGGCTGTCAGCAGGTTCTAATTACACATTTTAATTTCACACTTTCGAGAAGAAAATCTGTCATGTTCAACTTACCGAAGCTGTGAAGGGGAAATCTTTGCTGATCCATTCTGAGACTGAAGCATTTCTATTGGAACAAAGAAACAGACAGAGTGGTTAAGTCACATTTTCATTCATAGAGAATCCATGAATGAAAAGCTGCATTTAATTCAGCACAGACATGCGAAACAGTTGAAGAAATATTCTGCATTGAATATGTTCTCATGTCAACAACCTCCAACCTCTGAAGCCAGCGAGCCACTGAGTGACACTACTTTCATTACCATGAACACAAACACTGCACTTTACTTTGACTCAGTCCCACAGACACAAATACTCACTACAGCACCAAATGCAGATTGATTTACTGCTGAAAAAAGAAAAGGCAGGATTGGATCTTATTTACGTGACACCTGACTGAAAGATACGGGGCTAGCTGACTCATTTCTGTTAAAATTACAGATTCAGCATGAATGCCTGAAACAGGATGCCCCAAATCAAATGTGAGCTTGTACTTTAAGAAAACCAAACACCAAAATATCTGTACAGTCACATTATGTTCAAAGCCGGCCGACATTCACAGCGCACGCTGCATCCTCCTCCTAACGTGACCTCGGTGAGCTCAGAGAGAAATTTTCACCTCTTCTTTAGACTTCCAACCAACTCTGACTGCGTACCACGTTTTTCCAGCTATAAGGTGAAATATGAGACTTGCTGACATCTCTAAAATCTGCCATAAATCTCTGCACGTGCTTTCATACTTTGTCTGCCAAGACTTAGTGAACAGCAGCTTTGTCCCTGCACTAAACTCTCTCACATATGTTCTCTGCATCTGCATCAGGCTGTTCAGCATCCTTTACATCCGGAGACGACCATGACCTGCAGTGACTGATGCTGTGGGCATGTTTCTATTCATGCGAGCGGTCTGTGAAGAAAAGAGCAAACAGAACTGATATATGATATCATCTTTTTTGGAAAGTCACAGTTCAGGCCTTTTGATCGTCGATGTGTCAGATTAGATTCTTGTATCGAGATTGCGTTCGACCCTCCAGTCTCGTCTTTGTTTGGCAAGACATTCAGTGCTACTGGTGTCAAGGTGCCAGTGGCAGCTCGCTCTGTCAGTGGCCATGCTGTGTACATGTAGTGCATCACAGTGTGCGATGTGTGGAAGGGGGACTGGATAGAAGCTTTCTTAGGACAGTAAACGCTAAATACGGTTTTTTTGTGCATGTGTGTATATGCGCTGTGTGGAAGGCTGCGTTTTTGGACATACCAATGGTGTGTGTGTGTGTGTGTGTGTACGATTACACAATGACCCCTTCTTCAGCGCAACCTGAACTCATTCTCTCCTTGCTGTCTCAATGAGTTCCACCTGCCACTAAAAGGTCACGCTGACCCGTTTAATGCTAACAGTCTCCTCGCTGACGTCAGTGGAAATCGTTTTTCACCGTGTGCTTATATATTCTGGCTTCTGTGGCACGTTCTCATTGTTGTCACAAAGCACTGAAAGTCACATGATTTGTGTTCGGCCGCATGATTCGTTTGTAAAAGGTCATTGCCAGTTTCTAGCATGCTGGATTAAGTGTAACAAAGCTCAGAGGATTATTTGACAGAATTCAAACCGAGCTCTAACTTGATGACCCTCCGTATCCGTATCCGTATCGGTACGCCATCAGCTTTATTCCAAAAACTCATCCTGCAGAACTGAAAGATAACACAGTGATGCAGAAGTGCTAAAAACTGCAGTTCCACTAACGTCCACTTGAGGCTGGCACCGCAGAGGATTCAATCCCCATTTACTTTCTTGTTAAAAGGCCCAATTTTACAGCAAAAACAATCAGATTTGCAGCCTGGAGCATTAAACTCTTTTAGCTTCATGTGATAATTGGGTTTTTCATAACAACTCTGAGAATTTCTGTCATAATTCATCCACCTGGATAATGAAGCGATGTTGGCTGGAGTCCCAATCAGACTTTGCTACTCATTATTATTACTATTATTATAATAACTATAATAATAATAATTCCAAAACAGTGTGGGAGCTTGGACACCATGGTGTGTCCGTTTTTGTTATTGCTTGATGTGATGTGTGTGTGAACTCTTCAGTGCATAAATATTATTAAGACATTTTAATCCATATTAACTACATTTTATTTAATAAAGAAACCAGAGGAGGACTCCTCTACTTCTATATTTCCCTCCACAGTGAAGCTCGTGTCTCGCGCTGAGGCGAGAACTCGTGAAAGGTACTGAACTGTGCAGACAGACAGTAATGAGACAGGAAAGAGTTTCTGCTCAGAGTCTGGAAACCTCTGAAGAAGCTCCTTCATGCTTTCTTCGTCTCTGTCAAATACTCCCAAGTTATTGCAGTAATGAATCAGCAAATATTTGCCTTGTGTATTTTTCTATAACGATCCAATCTAATTGTCTAAAGCCTGACTGGAGCATTTACCGTATTTCTTTAAGAGAGGCTGACATTTGGCATTAGAAAACAGGTGCGGAGCTCAGCACAGGGGCATGGCAGCCATATGGCACCGTGGCTGCTCAGATTATGGTCCTAAAGATTTCCTGGATTCTTGCTCAGCCTTCACAGCCTCTGGGCTGAGTGCAGGAGCTGCTCTCGGGTTCCTAAAAGCTAAAAGCAGGTGAGAAGTCGCAGGTTCCCCTCATCCCTGCTCTCCCTCCGCCTCCTGTTGACAAAGAGCCCGGAGGGGCTGCCGTGCACTCACCGCAGGCGTAGACGCAGGCATCGCGGATGCCTTTGTATTTGTGGCCGGACGCGTCTTTCTGCAGCTTCCTCAAGAGTTCCTCCATGCTGATTTCAAAGACGAGACGGCTTTAAAACAGCAGAGCGCAGAGGGTGGGTCTGCGTGTCCGAGGGATTTTATGGGTGCTATGACAGCGACAGCATCCCCGAACCCCCCCGGGGAAGGCGATGATTCATTCCTAACTGCCAGCCAATGATGTCAGGCCAGCCGCCGATCCTGCGAAGGTGGAAGGAGGAAGCGCGTGTGCGTATTTTCCCAAATCCGAGGCTTCGGCCTTCAGAAAGAGCAGCGCCGATCAGCTGACGTGCGACAAATAGTCGTGTCAGCCTGCTGCCCGTCCAGCCGCGGACACACGCAGGGAACAAACGCGCTTCGCTCGTGTCCGTGGCTCGTTTATCCCTCCGCGCTGCCGCGTTGGGAAAGTCCGTTCCAGCGGATACTTGCGCTCTTCGCGGAAACCAGATCCGGTTTTTCTTATCTTCGCATCAAGCTGCCTGCATGGCAGGAGCACGCGCACAGCTCTGCACGGTGAGCGCCATCCGCTATAAGGTGGATTCCTGTCCAACCTGGCAACACAGTATTTACACGCTCTCCCCGCGGGGACGTTTGAAACTGCGGCAGCGACGCTGGAGTCACTGGAATGGGATTTCCTGCGGTCTCAGCCGGTGACAGGTGGAGGAAGCTCGGGCACAGCTGATAAGGCGATTCTGCTTTCAGAGTAAAGCACAAATTCTAAAATAATTCATATCAGTGCGTCATAGTTTCATTTTTGCCCCAAAAAGGCGCAGCTCAAAGCTCAAAAGCTCAACCTCAGGGATATGAAGTAATATGAAGTCAGTGGGCTTCAGTGTGTGTTTCAGACCGTCCAGAACTGCAATTCCATTAACGGCCACTTGAGGCAGATTGTAAAAGAGCGTCAGTCAATGTGGAAGTCCTTTAAAGCAGTGGTTCCCAAACTTTTTTTTGCTAGGTCCCCCCTTTGTTTTAAAAAGAAAAATGCCCCCCCCCCCAAACACATCCTCCAGCCACAGCCACACACACCTATATTTTGCTCCGTTGCATTTATTTCACACCTCAAACATTTAGTAAACAATTCAGCAAATACAAGTAATCTGCAATAAATTACAGGTAGTGATAAAATAAACTACTAACTCTTTTACGCTGCTTCCGCACCTACACGGGTATTTTTGAAAACGCAGCTGTTTCGTCCACGTAAACGGTGTTTCGAATCACTGAAAACTGAGATTTTCTAAAACTCCTTTTTTGCGTTTACGTGTGGACGAGGAATACAGAGTTCCTCACAGCGTCAAAGGTATGTGCCTTTTTTCACGTCACGCTGTGCGCCACGTTATTGTTCACAGGAGATGAATTGCAGAATGGCAGATAGAGACAAAATACTGTTAATCTGACTATCTGCAGGTTTGCATGCAGTAACATGCAGTTACTGTCCCTCCATTTACAAAGGCAGAGGCGTCACGGTGTGATTATTTTACGTGTAGTTGTTTTTTTCCTGTGTAATAATATTCAACATTGCTGTCAATACATTTTTCAAAAAATCTCTCTGTGCAAAATAGGTTTAAAAACATAAACAGCTGTGGGATCCTGTTTGTCTGTGATTTGGAGAGCCCAGCGTGCTCCCCGCAGGGAAAACTAATTCTGTCACAGAGACCTACCTCGGCACTTGTGCAGGTGAAGCCAAAGGAAGATTTGCTTCACCGTATTTTCTAGTCTTTGGCTTGAAAGGAAGTTGGTTTGGAAACATATTTGGCTATGCTTCATCTCCTGCTTTGTGTTTGTGTGGGCGCCCCGTCAAAAACCTGTCAATTATGCTAGCAGTGTCCAAGCATTCTTCTTTTTTTTTTCATACCCCCCCCCCCTGCAATGGCTCTGCGCGGGCCCCGCACTTTGGGAAGCTCTGCTTTAAAGAGACATTGTTTCTGAAAGGCCACTGAGCAGTGAGAGCTGTGGGTGCAAAAGCATTTCAGTTCCTGTTGAAGGTAATGACATCCCTCTGATGGCACCCAGTGAATTTATCCTCATTTTCTAGTCATTCTGTATAAAATATGAAGGTCATTTAATCCATAAGTGTCAGAAGGAGGATTATTCTGGATATGCTCACTGGTTAACGCGTTGACTATCCCTCCCTGAGGCAACTATTGCTGTGATTGGGTGTTGCCCCACAGCTTTCCATATTAAAATACCAAACTTCAAAGGAGAGACAGCATAGAGACTATAAAAGATGGATGAAGTAACAGTGACATCATCACCCACTAGTTTCCAATCCTGCATTTTGAAGCTTTGGTGTTTGCGTTTGGACACCAAAGAAGTTTTCATATTTTTAACGAGAGGCTGGAACATGAAGTTATAAGCTAATGCTAGCTAGCTTGATTAGCAAGCTACAGCGATAAATTGTAAGAGCACAACACACAGACACATTACTGCTAATAATAATAATAATAATAATAATAATAATAATAATAATAAAGGACCAATGAAATATCATTTCAGAGTTCAAGTATCTCGGGGTCTTGTTCGCGAGTGATGGGAGAAGGGAGCCGGAGATCGACAGATGGATTGGGGCTGCAGCTGCAGTAATGGGGACGCTGCACCGGTCCGTCGTGGTGAAGAGGGAGCTGAGTGTAAAAGCGAAGCTCTCAATTTACCGGTCGATCTACGTCCCTACCCTCACCTATGGCCACGAGCTGTGGGTAGTGACCGAAAGAACGAGATCGCGGATACGAGCGGCAGAAATGAGCTTCCTCCGAAGGGTGGCTGGCCTCTCCCTTAGAGATAGGGTGAGAAGTTCGGACATCCGGGAGGGGCTCAGAGTAGAGCAGCTGCTGCTCCACATCGAAAGGAGCCAGCTGAGGTGGTTCGGGCATCTGACAAGGATGCCCCCTGGGCGCCTCCTGGGTGAGGTGTTCCAGGCATGTCCCACCGGGAGGAGGCCCCGGGGCAGACCCAGGACACGCTGGAGAGATTATATCTCTCGGCTGGCCTGGGAACGCCTTGGTATTCCCCCGGATAAGCTGGAGGAGGTGGCTGGGGAGAGGGAGGTCTGGGCCTCTTTGCTTAGGCTGCTGCCCCCGCGACCCGGCCCCGGACAAAGCGGATGAGGATGGATGAAATATCAGAAAAAATGAGGCATCCAGGACTAGTTGATTTCACTGTGACTACACTCATCTTTTATATACAGTCTGTGCTTAAGGCCAAAGCCCTTTTAGAAGCATGTCTTGCCAGTCTGCAGCCATCGTGAAAACCCAGCTGGACTCATTATCATTATTCTATATTAATAACATAACAATGGTCACTGAGACATAACAACTGCAGGTTTAAAATCATTAATCAATCATTAATCAAATCTACTTTCTTTCAGTTTTATATCACTCAAAGAAAACTGGCAGAACCACTACTGCATATTTAGCAAACTAGCATCCAATAAAATTCCTCTTCAGCATGCTGGGCATTAGTTTATATCTAATTACATAAAGAAGTTATAGATTTTAGGCCTGGCTACCATTTTCCTCATCAGGGTACTGAGCCAGAACAAAGACTGAAGCATCAAGTAAAAGTTAGCCAGTGTTTCCATGATATTTGAGAAATCATCTGCCTTGTAAGTGCAAGCAGCAATCTGCATTATGACATACATTTAGAACATTCACGAGCTGTTGCTTACTGTGTCTGCGTGGTTATTTCAGCATCAATCTCAACTGAACTGAAAAGTGCTGCTGTGATGAGTGGACTGTCTGACAAGGTGATCTCCAAATCAATGGTAAAATGATACCTGTAACATGAGCTGTGCTCTCCACAATGACTTCACCTTAGTTTACTGGTGCCCCCTACAGCCACTGATAACTGACATTATTAAAAATCTAATAGTGATCACAAGAATGAATCTACTGATTGTCAGTAAAGAACAAACTCTGAATAAAGAAACTGGAGACAAACGTATGTACTCGCAACACGTTCTGATACTGCAATAGTAATAAGTGTATCAAGTGTTCGACTCCACTACCTACCCGTCGTGCCGTCCCACCTCCCCGCTCACAGTGCCACTGCTCACTGGTGAATTAAATCAAAACTATATAAACACAATACATATACATAGATACATAATGCATGTAATAACTTTCAAGTGTTTTTCAGTGTTGGTACTTAATACTTTCTTAATGTACTTGTTTGCTTGACCATTCAATCATTTTGTGACTCTGTGACTTCCAATACGCTGAAGCAACAACGTGACCTTTCTAAACAGAACTCGACTGCACTCAACAAATATTCTGCATTGATCCGATTTATCCACTTCAGAGGCACCTTAGAATAAAAGCGCAGACAACCAAGAGGAGACATGATAGTAAAATGAATATACAATCATAGATTATGGGTGAAAAATAGGAATTAAAATGACTTTAGATCGAACCTCAACCACTGTATAAAAACAAACAATGGCAATAACATGATTATAGGCCTGTAAGTCACACAGTCTGTTGTGCAATGATGACTTTAATCATGAAATGAGGCAGCACATTAGGGAGGACAAATCTCACTTATGAACGTTTTAAAAAGCTATTCTAGATTCTCGTCTAAAACTTCCCCCAATTACAAAATGACTCAACATTCATCGTCAGTGTGATGCCAGTTAAAGGGATGTTTAAGGTGTCGAGGCGAAGAGACTCATTCGTCTGTTTCTGTTAATGGGAGCTCTTAATGCGCTTAATCTGCTCTCAGCAGATGATAGCTCTCTAACAGATGTTATTATTATATGGTGGCCTATGTTTGGTGAGCTCCTTGAAATCTGGTGTTGATGCAGTTTGGGTTTTTTTTTTGATAGCCAATAGCACTGAGAGAGAAGCTGCAGGAAATGTCAGCAAACATTTCCACCATCTCAGGGATCAGCGACTGCCTGACAGACAGGCCGCAGGACATGACACTGAGCTCTGTCTGATTTGCTCATGTGCATTAGAGGAGCTCCACAGGAGACCGTGCTGTCTCCAGTCCATTTACCATGAACACCTGAGACTTTCAGTCCAACTCCGAGTCATGCCACCTGCAGAAATACTCAGAAAGTTTGGATGCATTAGTGACGGGTTGGTGAGCACGAGTGGATGGTTTTATTTGAGTAGTCTTGGAGAAATGATCTGCTTCTTAATGTGAAAAAGACCAGAGAGATGTCATAAGAGCGAGAATGGCTACAACACCCGTGTCTATCCTGGGATGTTGATGTGTTGGAGGAGTACCTGGACATTCACATCAACAACAGGCTGAACTGGAAACTCAACACAGATGCTGGATACAAAAAGCTCCGTTTCATAAGGAAGCTGAGATCCTTCAATGTGTGGAGCAAACATGATGAGACACACGCATGATCACCCTCACAGTAACACAAGATGTCTGTCTGACAGAGAGGCATATAGCAGTTATGTTTTATTTGATTTGATTCCATTAATTAATTTCATTTCATCATCATTTTAACGGCTGCACAAGAATTTCCCAAATTTGGAAAAGAAGTATTTATCACCTCTTAATGGTAAACCTAATTTTTCTTTCGATGCATTAAATGTTTAAAATTTATTTTTGTAATTTTTCTTTGGCAGAGATAAAAACAGTAGATCCATTCTGGCCATATCTGATAATTAAACCTGACATTATAAAACTCTGGACATAAATCTGCTGCTTTACCAGCCTCTGGTTTCAGGCTCTCCACAAGAACCAGCATTACAGTAATGAGGTTGGCTACTAATTTCAGGTTGTTTGATATATATTATTAATATAATATAATATTTATAATAAAAAAAAAAAAAAAAAAAAAAAAAAATATATATATAATATAGGGGGGGGGGGGTATATATATATATATATAAAAAAAAAAAAAAAAAAAAAAAAAAAAAAAAATATATAATATAAAAAAAAAAAAAATATATATATATATATATATATATATATATGGCAGGAGAACAATGGAGCTCAAGGGAGGAGAGGGTCCAAATATCCAAAAACAGTCTGAACACTCCACACTCACTCAGCTCAGCTGAGTGACGAGCAGGGACGAGCTGTACAAAGGAGAAACACAATGAGACAGGCCGCAAGGAGAAGAAACAAGGGCTGTACTTTCCAACTAGGGAGCCAGAAGTTTACTAACTGCATAGTTTAATGTTCCAGTGAGGAATGTTAGCCAGCCGCTACCCAAAGTAGTGATCTCAGATGAGATCATTGTAGGCAGGTGTGCAGCTTCAGAGGCGGAAAGCCCGAATGGGTCCCGCTCATGAACATTAACAGCAAGCAAACAAAAAACAAACTCTGGTGGAGTCAGTCAGGGATGACTGAGGAACCGTGACATATGTATTGAAACCAATAAAAGTTTATGTGACCTTCGTGAATGTTTAAAGTTTCTTTACACTTCTTTTATTTAGCGATGTGCCGATCAGGAATCAACCTATCGACCTATTTTAAGAGTGTTGGGGATAAAAACAATCAAATCAGACCAGGATAGAAGTTATGAATAAAGACCAGAGTTTCCTGTAAGCTTTTGGGGGGGGGGGGGGGATCACCTGCTACTAACTCAGTCATTGGATCGTGCTCCTGAAGTTGTAACTGGCATGAGTGTATTTTGGCTGCTGTGCCAGCAGAGTGTGAGTCGCAGTGTGCAGTTTTACTGCTGTCGCCTCACAGCAAGAAGGTCCTGGGTTTGAGTCCAGCTCCTGTGTGTGGACTTTGAATGTTCTCCCAACATCTGTGTGGGCACTCTGGCTGCCTCCCACCAAAAACAAGCCCCTGCCTCCATTCTGAACTGGATAAGTGGGGAAAGTTGAATTGATTGACAGGTTTATTGTAAGTCTTTTAAGCAGTCAAAGAGGAAAATTCACATTGACTAATCTGTCATAAAACAAGGTGATGATTAAGTGATTCAGATTGAGGTGTTTGGGGATCGTTTAGGATACTTTAGACGACCAGCAGTGAAATTCCAGCCTATGGTGATCTCTCCAGGGCCCTAAAGTGAGAAACCACAGCTTCACCTGTGAAAGAAAAACATGAAATTATTTCAAATTAAACTAACATTAAAGCATTGAGAGTATAAACGTTTTATCGCGCGATGCTTGGTGCAAAACCAAGAAAGAAATCCAGCATTGTCTTCACGAGCAGCATGCAGTGGACGATTTTGATCACTTGGGGGAGGTAGTAACCAAGCCTACCTACTGCATTAGTATCACAGCCACGTATAAACTTATCTTTTCCAAAATTGCACTTAGATTAGAGAATGATGAAAAGACGTCGGGAGCACTTTGTGTTCCTGTTCTCAACTCCAGCAACACAAATCTAATAGTTTTAGAAGTGAGATGGAGGCAGATTGTCCTAACACTCAAAATGTGACTCATGCAGGCTAAACAGAAAAATGATTCAAGGTAAAAATTAAAGGAAATCCTTTTCAGCTCCTTCACTTCGATCAGATGAGGGATAAACAACTTTAAAATGAAACCACAAAAAGTATTTCCCCACAAATATGTAATTATAAGACCTCACTTCTATCCCCCAAAAGGATGACATGATGTTTTCTTAAAATTTTCTTAAAACCTCAGATTACATCATTAAAACTTCGATAAATACGAATTTATCTCCCTTTGTTTTTTGTTGTGTGTAAATTAATGACATTAATGAACATTTATCCTTTCTGCGTAATTACGCACATGGGCACGGGTTTCCAGTTCCAGCAGAACGAACACCAAAAAGCACAGTGCGTGTTATTTGTGTAAATGTAGCCTATAGGCTATCCAACTTGGGTTTTGACGTCACGCGTCAACTTTTGTGATATTTACGCGTAGGGCTGCGTTTAAGTTTTGTCTTCCAGCACATCGGAGTGAAAGCGTGACGTGCAGTCCGTCAGGCCGAGGACAAAAAGAAAAGAAAATCCCGTTTTGTAGGTCAGGTATTTTGGGAATATGCCCGCTGCGCGCCACGTGCGTAATGACGAGTGCGCCTGTAAATAGATGAAATAAGGCGTCGATACTTTGGAATGAAAGGGGGCACACCAGCGTAGTGTCTCCTGACGGGGGTTAGGGAAAGGAATTAATCATTTCACGCACCAACACCGGCACTTCAGTGCGCGTCTGTGCCACCTCCGGACGGCTCTCCAAGTCCATGGATAAAAAGGAACACGAGGCGGCAGAATGGTTGTTGCAGGAGCGAGTAACGGGACTTTCGGCAGTGGCAACATGAGGTCGTCGTTCATGATAGAGGACATAGTCGGTGGCGGAGATCCCGGGGGCTCCACTAACATGATGATCTCCGAGGCTCTTGCGCTTCGGCTACTAAAGGCTGCGCAAGGCGCCGCAGATGCAGCAGCAGCAGCGGCAGCAGCCACTTCTCCGTCCACCTCCAGTCAGCCGCAGGTCATGGAGACGAACGGGACCCGCTGCGGGGAGCAGATCCTGAGCTACGGCCGGGTGGAGAAAGTTCTGATCGGCGCGGTGCTCACTATGCTCACGCTGTCCACGATCTGCGGGAACTTGCTCGTGGTCATCTCCGTCTGTTTTGTCAAGAAGCTGCGCCAGCCGTCCAACTATCTCATCGTTTCTCTGGCCTTGGCCGACCTTTCGGTGGCTCTGGCCGTGATGCCGTTCGTCAGTATCACGGACCTTATCGGCGGTCAGTGGATATTCGGTCAGTTCTTCTGTAACGTTTTTATCGCCATGGATGTGATGTGCTGCACCGCGTCCATCATGACTCTGTGCGTAATCAGCATTGACAGGTAAGATAAACTTCTCCAGCTTTAAAACTGTGTCAGTCTTTTTTCATGAAGCTAAGATAGAAAGTTTTTTTTAACAGAGTTTAATTAAACGTCTCCTGTCTTTAGTATTTGTTACCCGAGTCTCCAAAAATACATTTAAACAGGTCACATTCTTATTTCACAGATGTAGAAAAAATGCCTTCTGTAGTCTAACTCCAGATTTTGTCGCTCGGGGCTCTGCGACACTGGATCGCTGGGTTTCTGTGAGGCTTCTTGCGCCTCGGGGTCTTGTTCTGGGGCGCTTACTTAAAATGAAACGCTGCAGGACAAAGTGTGACCTCTCTGCCCACGGCATTCCTGTTCTGACCGCTGAATCAATTTACAGATTCAGAGACTCTGAAACGACCCCGAGTTTAAAATTCAACCGCTGCCTTTGTTTTTCCATTTCCTTAAAACGTTTTCACCACTTTAATCAAATGATAAAATGTTTTTATGCTTATTTGTTTTTGAAAGCCACACATGCCTGCCAATGCCCTGTGTGTTGGAAATTTTGTAGCCTGGTTTGCTGAACATTTATGGTCTTTCCCAGCATCGCCAAGCTTCTCTTTCATAATGTAACCCAGCTCTCATTTGGGGGCTGAGTGTGGCAGGCAGAGATCTTAGTTTTGCTCAAGGGCACCTTGTCCAGGGTGGGGAGAGTGTCACCTGATTAGGGTAATGTAAAGCAATAAAAATAGAGTTACACTAGACACATTTTAGGGTCGTATTCATTTGGCTGTGTTTTTCTCTGTGTAGGTATTTGGGTATCACTAAGCCTCTGACTTATCCTGTCCGGCAAAACGGCTGCTGCATGGCCAAGATGATCCTGTCGGTGTGGCTCCTCTCTGCTTCCATCACCCTCCCCCCTCTGTTCGGCTGGGCGCAGAACGTTAATGACGGCAGGGTCTGTCTCATCAGCCAGGACTTTGGATACACTGTCTACTCTACAGCCGTGGCCTTCTACATCCCCATGTCGGTGATGCTGATCATGTACTACAGGATCTACCGAGCGGCCAAGCTCAGCGCAGCCAAGCACACCATCACTGGCTTCCCCAGGGAAGGGGAGCACCGAGCCGTGGTGACTCTTCGCGGGGGGAGAGGAGGGCATCAGCCAGCAGAGTCAGGAGAGACGGGAAGTGTCGAGGGGACGGAGGTCGAACAGGTGGAGGAAGCCGAGGAAGAGGAGAGCTTGGACTGCGTGGCAGCGGCGCTGAAGCTCCAGCGTGAGGTGGAGGAGGAGTGCAGCACGCGTGTCTCCCGCCTTCTCAAAACTGGCGAGCACCACCAACGGCGCAAGAGGAAAAACCAGTCCATCTTCAAACGGGAGCAGAAGGCTGCAGCCACTCTGGGCATTGTAGTTGGTGCCTTCACCTTCTGCTGGCTGCCGTTCTTCCTGGTGTCCACTGCCAGGCCGTTCGTCTGTGGCGTGCAGTGCAGCTGTGTGCCCCTCTGGCTGGAAAGAACTCTGTTGTGGCTTGGCTACGCCAACTCCCTCATTAATCCTTTCATTTATGCATTCTTCAACCGTGATCTGAGAACCACCTACAGCAACCTCCTGCGCTGCCGCTACAGGAACATCAATCGGAAGTTGTCGGCGGCTGGCATGCACGAGGCTCTAAAACTGGTGGAGAAACCAGACGCTGATGCGTAAAGCTGTAGGTCTGCCAATCAGCAAGGCTGCAGAGACCAGTATGGAAAATAATAAACTGGGGCTCAGACTGTGGCACAAGGCTATTGTGCTGACAGACCTTTTTACCCTCCAGATTTCATGAGGATTGCCAATGCGAGAGGAGGAAAGATGCTGCGATTAAGTGGATGTAGAGGAAGCCTAAGTGTTTCACTCTGGAGAAAACTGAGAGAAAACAGAGCTCAGTGGTGTTGAATTCATACTGTTTAATTAGCTGAATCTGTTGCAATGACTCTGAAGCCCACGAGGAAGGGCTACCTTGGTGGATTTAAAACTGGCTGCTATGTTGCTCAGAAGCCTTTTGAACATGACATTGATGCAAAAGCAGGAGCTACACACCCAGACTTTAATCTCAGCTCCTGTCATGGATGGAAATGATCTTACGCAGTAGCCAGTGACTTACATTTCCATTTCTGACCCAAGGAAAACTAACAATGAGAAAATAACGAACGACTCGGAGCTCAACCGCTACCAAATGTGTTTACTTTGCATCGTAGTTATCACTTTTCTAAAACGTAGAGTGTTTTATTGGTGAACAGGCGTAACAAGTGGACATGGTAATGATTAAAAAGTATGTAAAAATTTATGTACACAAGTCAATAGCCACGCTGTTTTTGTAACAAATGGTTCTGATCTGTTGTAACCTAATAAGTTGATATCATTTGAAGATGAGCCAAAACGTGCTCCCTTTCCTTCTACTCGTGTCATGACCACCTGTTTATTGAAACTATTTGCTGATCATTTATTTCTGTAATATGGCAGCTAATTAACGAGCAAGCAAGGACTCTTAGGGACGAGAAAATGACGTGAAAATGCAGAACACGATGATGTCGACACGGAGCTGAAGGTGGAGTAGAGGGAAACAACATCATTGAGGACGCTTTCTGAATGTGCCTGTGCCTTTTTCTGCTTTGTCGGTTAAGGTTTGGTTGCAGCACACAAGAGTCTCGCTTTACATTGTGTTAGAAAGTTGAGACAATGTGCAACTTTAGCCTTGTTGTGCATTACATAACAAAAGAAATGGCCAATAAAATGGGCAGTATCCTCTCAAACAGAGATGAATGATGGTCAGACAGGATCTAATCTTTTGACATGACACGCACCAAAAAATTATTTTCACAGTTAATTTAACAATTGACTAGTTTTAGGGCTAAAGTTCGGTCTCAAGTGGGTCTAAAAACAGTAAAATCACAGTTTCATATTCAATCTACAGTCATCAAAAAAAAATACCCCATGTACCAGTTTCATTTTGATAAATTATCTTTACATTCTTTATAATATATAAAAATCTTAACATTAATATATTATATGGACATTTTTTTTAGGACAAATCCAGGATCAGGATTTGTCCTGCTGCTGGGAAACACCCCTGACCCATAACTGGCGTCTCCTTTGAAGTCAAATATTGCTTAACTCCAGCTGATGCTCAAAACTGAAGAGGTCATATTTTTCCAACTGGGCTCAGCTGGAAATTAGGAGATCTCACGTCACAGATGTAATTCATCCAGCTGAACAGCAGGGGGCCCCAGTGAGACAATCCTCAATGAGCAGCAGTGAATGGAGCTAAACAATTAAAATCATGATTTATGTTTGCTTCCAGGGAATAAAATACATAAACTGATTCTGTTTCCTGTTTGAAGTAAAACGACAGTTATGTAAATTTTTTTTCTAACATAGAGGTCAAGTTAGCTTATAAATGCTAGCATCCCACTAATCAGTGCCATTAGTTGATTAGGAATTTTACCATGGGACCAGTACACCCTTACTGGCACCTTTGTCCAAATGATAACTTCACATTAGACGTTAAACCGCCACAGCAGTTTCAGTGTGTGTGTGTGGGAAGCAGCTGGTTGTGGCGGCTGAAGGCGATGCTAGGAGCCTGCTGCCTGCAACAAGTCACACAAAATGATTTTATGACGATGAAAACTTATGGTCTTAACCTTTTCTATATAACGATGTTGGAATTTCCACGTAGCCCTGTCCATTCTGGATTCGATTATTCAAATTCAATCGAGTTATCGTCGTCAAAGCTGACAAAAGCATGGGCAAAGCGTAAATACGGCTTTTTTTTTTCTAAAGATTTGTTAGATGTGATCATTTATTAGGATCTGTACCACCAGTGTTAATTAAATGACCTCCAATATGTTGGGCTGCCATGCTGTTAATCTTCTCACCTCTTGTTCTTCTGGAGTTTTATGTGATCACAGACACTAATTACGCAGCCATCTTTCCCGTGTAGCTCTGTCTCAGGCTACAGGGCGACGCCCCGGGAGGAAATCCGATGTGGATGTTAAAGGAGAGAGAGCAGATCACAGCCGCTGTTTCTTTGGTGTGTTTAATCTCCCCCGGAGATCGAGAGCCTGTCTGCTTGGAGTTTAATTTAAAGTTAAAAGTACAAGTTTAGCTCAGGGGGAGTGATAAAGTGCACAGAGCTTTTGTATGTGCACAAGTTTTAGTGCAGCATCCTGCATGCACCAAGCAGCTGCAACATCATGTTGACAATAGGAACTCTGGAAACTGCTTGCTTGGTTTCTTTCTGGCAACATTATTTTCTTTGTGTTCTTTTTAATATGCACTGACACGAGTAGGAGAAACGTGTTACCTCTTATTCCACAAGGACTGCAGTAATGTTTTTTAATCCTTTGAGGAGACTTTGTGTTTTACAAGTATTAGTACACTCTGTGCTGCTGAGAATTTGTCCTCGTTAACTTGAAATTGTACAACAGCTAACTTAGAAGGAGCAACAGAGGGCACTCAGTCAGTTTTACCAAAATCTCTTTTTCACTAAAGAAGTGTGAACACTGCAATTACCGCCTTTATTCTCTTTTGAAACATTAATTAAAGCTGCTCTCCACAAGATTATTTTTAAATTTAAAAAATGCGCTAAGCTACTGAGCCTTAATTACCGAGTTAGCATGGCAGCAGAGATGATACAGAGAAGCCAGCAGGACGTCTGGTTCATGTGACAAACTCTGCTGTCTGCCCGACAACAGAAAGTTCACTCAGAGTAAAACGGGACTCGAGCACTTCTCTAGATTCTAGATTTTAGATTTTATTTCAAGTATCAAGTGTGAATAAACATCATAATGAAACACAGGAGTGGGCGATATATATTTTCCCAAGGGTCACAACGGAAACCAGAATCAGTGAGCTTATAAAGAGATAAAATGAATATTGAGCAGAATTGACTTCACCTTTTTCTGCAGCCCTCCACAACAGTCCAATATGGAAAAATGAATTGCCTGCCCCTGGTATAGAACATCAGCTATAATAGGTAAATCCATCTTTTTCAGTCACACTTCAGGGTTCTGCCCAGTCACGCCTTTGCCATGTGACTAAGGGAATTAGTTATTTGGGGGGAGGTGAGCTGAAAAGGTTGAGAACCACTGAACTGTACTCTTCTGGGCTCAGTGCCGCCGTGGCATGGCTCCATTTCCCGTCATAGAATAGATGGAGAATGGTTGCCAGGAGCACAGGAGCACATTTTTCCTGAAGAGCATCCAAAAACTCTGAAGAGCAGAATGTTATCATTCACATGCAACACTCAAACTATCTGGGAAGCGAAGCTGTTGTTATCTTGACAACATCTCGTGAAAATATTCTCAGTGGCGTGTCAACACATTGGTGCGAGATAGGAAGGGAACGACTGCACAGCAGGCTGAAAAAAATTCTTTGTATGACATCCAGAGGAGAGAGGAGACACGCTAAAAGGTAAATGGAAGGTAGAGGCACACCCTGGCATTCAGTGGCTGTCGCCTGCATCTCAGAATGTGACTGAATGCTCGCCTCTTTCATCAAACTAGTCATCTTCCCGCATGAGAGCGCTGCACTGAACCGGAGCTAATTTTAAAGAAATTGAGAGCCTGCGCCACAACAAGTAGATTTATGGATTTTTTTCAGTGAGGGAACGCGAACCCTCAAACTAAGCGTGCACCAGCAGTTCCCACAATAGTCAAAAAATGACTCTTGGCTCGGCGTGGTCACATGGTTTCTAAAGAATCTATGAAAAGATGGGGAATGTGGAGATATCAGCTGCAGCTAAATTTACACATCAACCAAAGATGTGATTGTTTAAAGGCAGATGTTTTATTCCCATGTACTCCTCATTTGAGTCAAAGTACACTGAAAACACTCTGAGAAAATGACTGTTAACTCTAAATGCAGAGAAACTGTGACACTTCAGTAAGGATAATAAATAGAGAGATCAACATTTAAGGCATATGGCTGGAGGTGACTTAAATTACCTGCTGTCTCTTGCTAATAGCTGCTTTAGAAGCCAGATGTTTGGAAATGTTCAGCCAACAGTTGCTTATCCTTTTGAGAATGTCCTCATCACAAGCTGTTTTTGAACAGGGAGGCTCAGCTCCATATTAGATATAAAGTGTGCTGTTCATAGCATTCAGTCTTTAGTCTGCACCGCTTTCCATTTGCGTGAATGGATGTGTGTCGGTTTGTCCTGTTTTGAGAGTCAAACATCTTTGTTTGCCTCTCGTGGATGCTGAAAGCCAGCGCTGCCCATTTGAAACATCTGCACAGTGACAACACTCTACTGAGACGACTCCATTAATCTGTCACTGATTGGCTGTGTGTTAATCCTCCCACGGCACTCATTGGACCAATTGTTTTTTAATTTTCAACCTGCTGTTTCATCTCAAAATGCTAGATGAACGAGTCAGCTCTGTGGACTGGAGACATTCAAAGCTCTGGACTCTGGCCTACCATTACCGGACAAATGCACAAACAAGGATTTGTTCGGGAAAGGCTATTTCAAATGATCTTTGGAGGTCATCAACGGGCAAATAGCACAGGAGTCAGTCAGAAAAATAAAACATATGTGATGGCATACGGTAAAAATATCCCATCCAGTTGTGTTGTTTCTGGCACAACAGAGGGAGATCATTCCAAACCATCTTGGTTAATGAGAAACCTCAACGGCGCTCCTTTGAGTTATCGTCATCAAAACTGCTCCACATCAGATAAAAGGTAGAGCTGGTGGACTAACAAGGTCAGAATAGCAAGAGGGCCAAACGCATCCTTTCGGGACAAATAAAGCTCTCAGATTGGTTCCTGGGCCACATTCAAACACTTTTTTCAATTAGTTTTCATACCACAGCCAATGTTGTTCACTGGGACTATATGGGACCTTGTTCTGTCAGCATTATCAAAGTACAAAGAACAGCTCTCGTGGGATAGTATTGCTTTTATATGCTGTTTAGCACTGTGTGAAACGCCTGTGTATATATTAAGACTAAAAAGAGAAAAAAGGAAAGCGCGATGGCTCCATGGCCCCTGGTGACCATAACAGCTGGGCTTAGCGACCCATAAAGCACAGCAGGAGAGTCTCTATGGCACTTCTCGGCACAGATGCGATGTGTATTTGACCAATCAAATTGCTGAAATTCCTTGTATATGAGTCCAAAACCATTCACGTGGAAAAGACTGTAAGATATGTTGTTATTGTCAGAGTGAAACCTTGTTGGTTCCAGTTAATCAGCCTCGTTTTTGACCCGATCTGTAAGATTATTTTCAATCATGGCTCTTCATACTGAAACGACATCAGCAGCAGTGTCATCGAGCTATTTAAGAACCAGCCACGATGGAGATTTCCAGTTAAAACTCTTTAGACTTGTTTTAGATGTAATCTATATTTTACAGTCTGTACAGTTTTGTCAGGGTGCTGAGTGATGGCTAAATTTGTGAAGTGACCTTTCTTGCCAAAATGAATCATTAAATACTTAAAAAATAAAACGGGATTGATCTCCGTCTCTGTTTCTGCTTTACTGTTCTGATCAGCACCTAAAGACAGCAAGCGCACGTGGAAATGATGGCTACTGCAGGCTTACGCTTATGTTACTTCACAAGTAAAGCACTAGCTTTGTTGTTATTGTCTGGCTAAGTCACAAAACTGTTTGATATTGAAATTAATCTACACATAAAGCGAGTTCTTAGATGTGAAACGCACGCCTTAAAAAGAGATAACACAACCTTCACCTTTGGCGACTCGCGCTTTGTGGTTTTGCCCACAATTAAAATGCTGGTTGGTCCAAAAATAACTCTTGAAAAGAGCATTTTTTTTCTATTTAACTGTACTCAGTTTCAAGAAAAAAGCAAAGAAAAAAAAACACTGCTCAAGGTTGTTTTCAGCCATGCTAAAAATATAAGCCAAAGGATGAAAAACCTCGTATCTCCAGTGTACTGGAACATTTGCCACACTTTAAAGGTGGTGATACTGATTTCCTGTCAGGACGGTCAGGATGATGCAGACACTGTTCCACAGACAGTTCATTTGACATCATACAAGATGCTGTCACTGTAACTGATGAGAGTTAAGTGGACTATTATCAGCTCTGACTGAAACGATGAGTGGCAGACTCGGTGCGTTTAAACATTAAAAATGCATTCAAACATCAGTCACATTAGTCAGCAATAAAAATCAGAGGCAACGTGGAGAACACATGATGGAGATGTGTCTTTGTTTATGACAAAAAGATAGAAAGATTATATGGAGGGTTTTGCTAGACTACTATTTGCAAACAGAGCAGGAGTCAGTAAAAGATGCTAAAATAAATAAGCCTCCGCATCTTTTTAAATAGTCCTTTACAGTGTTTAAACTGAGACTGTGTCCTAGTTATATATGATATTTTTAATAAATTGTACTGTTGTTCTGTTAATGTTCTAACTAGCTTGTTAAAAACTATTTAATTGTAGCTATAAACACTGCGACCCAGTGTTTTTGAGTCTGTATAATTATTGACCTGTGATTTCATCATGACTCTTAGTGTTCGGGTTCCTGTGCCCCTCGTGTTTAGTGGAGGCTTCGTTCTGTCGTGTTTGTTTTCTTGCTCCGCAGTCAGTCGCCTCTCATGTTGCCGTTTGTTATTCTGGTCTCTGTGCTTCATGTGTCCTCTGTTCCCAGGCCCTGTCATGTTTCCATGTCTACTCTTTGTGAACTGTTTCCTGTTTTACTTTGGTAGTCCTTGTCCTTTGTTAATGTTTTCAGTTTTGCTTCCCCTTGGTCTCGTCATGTTTGATTGCTCCCAGCTGTGCTCTCCTCCTGTGTGTCATTCCCTCGTTATCCCTCTGGATATTCAAGCCCTGCATTTTCCTTGCTCTAAACTGCATCGCGCCCTCGTTCCCCGCTGTGTGAGCGCCCTGCCTGTTTAGTTACATGTATCTTCCAAGTTTAGTTAGTGTCGTAGTTTCTGATGTTCAGCGATAAAGCTGCCTTTTGAGTTTACCTTTTGTGTTTGTTTCTGAGCTTCGGTCCTCTCCTGCCTGCTTCACATGGCCGGCACATGACAGTAAGACCTACTTATCTAGCATTACAATGAAAGAATGCAGTTTAATATTGGAATACAGAAAAATTCCCCAAAAAGCTGGGATGCTGGGTCAAAGGTCAATAAAAACAGAGTACTATGGTCTTTTACAGGCACCGAAACAAATCACAGAGGAAAGTGAAATGTTGTACAATCTCACTCTGGAGCCTTTCTAAGCTGTCAGAGGTCCAGAGCCAACATAATCTGTCGCAGGGCTGACACACTGAGTCAGACACCTGCAGCCAGTTTAGCATGACCAGTTAACCTAACTCCATGCATGGCTCTGGACTGTTGGAGGAAGTACCCAATCAAATGTGTCATTTTAAGAACAATATGTGCTCATTTGGAGTTAATGTCAGCAAAACGTCTTTACGAAGTTGGACCATGTTTCCTCTTTTCTTTTAACAACAGTCCGTAGATGTCAGTGATCCGAGGAAAGCAGCTGCTGAACTTTTGGGAGGGGAATATCGTCCCATTCTTGTCTGCTCAGCAGTCCTGGCTCTCCTGTGTCATAGATGCTTTTTCATGATGTTCCAGATGTTCTCGGTTGTTAAAACGTCTGGACTGCAGGCAGGCCGGTTCAGCACCTGGACTCTTCAGAAGCCATGCTGTTGTAATAGATGCAGTTTGTTGTTTAGCATCATTCTGCTAAAATATTCGAGGCCTCGCCTGAAAACAAAACTTTGTTTGAATGGGGTATATTTTCTTAGACCTGTGTATTCCTGAGCACTGATAACAAGCCGAATAGTCTCACTTGCTGTTAGTCTGGAGGATGTGGCGCCCATGTTTCCCAAAAAGAATTTCAAATTTAAATTCATGTGACCGCCGAAGAGCTCTGCACGTTGCCTCCATTTTAAACAAGCTTTGGTCCAGAGAGGACTGCAGCATTTCTGGATCATTTTCATATTCACTGTGCCTTCTTCTCTGCACAATAGAGCTTTAAACTTTACATCTGTGGACAGCACCGTGAGCCGTGGTCACAGACCGTGATTTCTGGAAGTGTTCCTGAGCAAATTCACTGATTACCAAAAGAGGATGCTGAGGACCTGACGGTCATGGGCGTGTCCACTGATTTTAACCTCGTCCCTTGTGAATCTTTTGATGGTAATATAAACTGCAGAGGGCGAGATGTTTACTGTCCTCACATCTTTACAAAGGTGGCATTATTCTGAAATTCTTCCACAGATGTGTGAACCTCTTCCCAGCTGTACCACTGCTCCATAAGATGCTCGTCTTATATCCAGTCTGTGGCCATTTGCAGAAAGAATGGGAAGAGAAACTTAGAGAGCCAACATAGATGCTGATGTGCCGTTATTTTAAAGTCATGTGCAATCAGCATTTACTTTATGAGTTAAAGGTAAAACTTCTTGCAGGTTTCAGTGAGCCTTGACGCCAGCTTCCACTCTAAAAAACGAAGCGGGAAGTTCTTCCCGCTGCAGTTAGAGAGATTATTTCCACACTCACTGTTGTCTTATCTGAAACTCGTATCTCACTGAGGTGTGTTTGCACTGATTAATGCTCTGCCGTCTTATTAGTTTCTGTAAATTCAGGAATGTAGAACAGCAGGTTGTTGATCTTTTCTTTGAAAGTAAAATCTCAGCCCACACAAATATATCAACAACAGTGATCACAAAACGGTGCATAACTGAAGACAGTAGTGCAATTTTTAACCAGGTCTTCCCATTAACACCTGACCTGCCCAGAGGGTCAGTCAATGAGCTCGTCAATAGCTTCAATGCTAACATGTTAAATGTAATGGACACTATTGCTCCCATTAAGGTGAAGGTTATCTCTGGAAGGAAAAAGTCTCCATGGAGAAACTCCACACTGGTGAAAAATGAAAAAAGAGAGTGTAGGAAAGCTGAGCGCAGATGGAGAAAAACAAACCTCCAGGTTCATTATGACATTTATAAAGAGAAACTTCACAATTATAATTTACAACTGAGGAATGCAAGAAGGTCCTACTTCTCTGACATCATCACTAAAAACAGCCATAATGCTCGGGTCTTATTTTCTACAGTTGACAGGCTAACAAACCCTCCTGTGCCAGTGGCAGCTGAACTTCATTCAACCATGGCCTGCAATGACTTTGCCAAATTCTTCACTGAAAAAATCCAAAAGATTAGACAAGCAATTGGTACATCAACAGCAGATCCAGGATATATACTGTGTCCACCGAAAAACTGTTTAAACACCATGAAACAGTTTCAACCTATTAACAGCAAAGACCTGGAGGACATCTTAGGTCAACTGAACTCCTCCTCCTGCTGTTTAGATGTCCTGCCAACAAGTTTTTTCAAAAAGGTCTCAAAGACTTTAGAGTCAGACCTGTTACAGATCGTCAACTTTTCTTTATTATCAGGTGTGTTTCCAGAATCACTAAAAACTGCTGTAATCAAACCTATACTGAAAAAGGACAATCTTGACAAGACACAAATGAACAACTACAGGCCGATCTCAAATCTCCCGTTTTTAAGTAAGATCATTGAAAAAGCAGTTTCTCAACAGCTCAGTTACTTCTTAAAACAGAATAACTGCTACGATGCCTTCCAGTCAGGTTTTAGACAGAACCACAGCACTGAAACCGCTCTGACCAAAGTGTTTAATGACATATGTCTGAATACAGACAGTGGAAAAATGTCAGTCCTAGTTTTACTGGATCTCAGTGCAGCATTTGATACAGTTGACCACAACATATTACTCAAACGACTGGAGAACTGGACAGGTCTTTCAGGAACTGTACTAAACTGGTTCAAAACATACTTAGAAAACAGGAAATACTTTGTATCAATAGGTAACTTCACATCTGAACAGACAAGCATCACATGTGGAGTTCCCCAAGGTTCCATCTTGGGACCCCTTCTGTTTAACATCTACATGCTCCCACTGGCACAGATTATAAACAACAACAAAATAAACTATCACAGCTATGCAGATGACACACAAATATATATCACAATGTCACCAGGAGACCGAGGCCCTGTACAGGCTCTTGGTAAATGCATTGAGGAAATCAATGACTGGTTGTGCCACAATTTTCTCCAGCTAAACAAAAACAAAACTGAGGTAATAGTCTTTGGTGCCAAAGAAAAACGATTACAGGTCACCAGAGAACTTCAATCTATACATCTAAAAACCACAAACCAGGCGAGAAATTTGGGTGTAGTGATGGATGCAGACCTAAACTTAGAAAAACACATTAAGACAATAATAAAGTCAGCTTACTATCACCTCAAGAATATTTCAAGGATAAAAGATCTGATGTCTCAACAGGACCTGGAAAAACTAGTCCATGCATTCATTTTTAGTAGGCTTGATTACTGTAACAGCATCTTTACAGGTCTACCTAAAAAATCAGTCAGACAACTACAGCTCATTCAGAACTCTGCTGCTCGAGTCCTCACTAAGACCAA